ACCTAATATATTTTCCGCATGAAGGACTCGCAAAGGCATGGGTTTCATCAAAATTCGAAATGTTTTTTCATCGCAAGCTCTGTGAGCAATAAAGACCGTTTTTGTTTTATAAACAGCGTTGCAGACTTAAGCCGAGGGTTGAAAAACAGTCGACGACGTTGAAGTGACGCTTCCTTGTTATTATTTCGAAGCGTTACATTCCTCACGTTAGGGTGCATAAAAAACAAATAAATGAAAAGTATTTCGGCGTATTTTTAAATTTTGTGGTTAAAATAAAAAATAAAACTGTTTTCAAGATGGATACAAGATATTAGGGTGCGCCGTGAATTGAGTTTGGCGGCAATAGCGGAATGTTTTTGTGTGCGCAGCGAAAATATATTTCAACTTTGCAGCGCGCAAATGGCTGCTCGGGCGAGCGCACAAATGGCGGCGCGTGGCGGCGGGACACCGGGGGCGTTGAGTGGCGCGCGCGAGGGCGGCTGCCGCCCAGGCAGGTAGCGGCGACGCGCAGGCATTTCGCGCGGTGTCGTGTTTCAAGGAAATTCAATTGCTGCGGAATTTATAATTGCGTATCCGACACGCGGAGCTCTTCAAGCGCAAATGGCACTTTCATTCCAGACACGCAGCGAAATTACATTCTTGATCACACTTTTTTCCTACTGCTTTCTTCTTCACGACAAAGATTAAAATAAAATTCAATATTGATATTGTTATAGACGTGAACTTGTATGGTACCTATATCTATGCGTGATAGGAATATGCCTAAGAACTTGATATCCACATTTGAATGTTTGGTGAAGGGAAGAAAACGGAAGTCATAATAAGTCTTCGCTACAAATATCCTGCGTGCGTATTAAGCGCAAACTGCAAACGCGTAAAAAAAGCGACTCGCATTCACCACAGCATATCCGGGGAGCAGGAATTTCGATGGCTTCGCATCTGCGTGCATCAAACAACCTGGTAAATAATTTCTCAGGTTTTCGGAAATGCCGATTAACACATGCATTGTAATAATATGGATTCCTATTTATTATTCATTCATGGTTCAAAATTTTCACTTCTATGGTGAATGGTCATTGACTTAAGTTAAGTTAAGTTATGTTAAAGGTTCGAAATTCTTAGAATTTCGAAATGTTTTGCCCAAATTAAAAACACATTTGTATTTTGGGCCACATTCTACTTTTCCACATGACCCAACTAATTCCGAAAACATTTCAGTTGTCCTTTTGTACGCTGAGAAGATTAAGTAAAAAGCTTACGCAGTCAGTGCATATTGCTCGTAAACAGGAATAATGCCGATTCTTACCGATGATAATCTTCAATAGATTACACGACGTCCGCGTGAGTGCCTGTCTACAAAACCCTCAATGTTAGTTTCTAAAAAGAACATTCCAACAATACACTTATAGAAACCCTCAAAAATATTAACTATCAAATTCCAATTTGAAAATTTGTAGATTTTAGGTTTTAGTTTTTATGTTTGCTTAGATAAAATAATTAATTTACCACGTGCCAATATGTTTCCTTTTCATTGTGAATCGAATTAATTGGATGATATAACCACCCGACGGGTCGATCCACGTTTGATTCATAGCCCTGCTGGCTAGGGGGCGATTTGTAATAGATTCGAAAATGCCACGCACGCAATTAGTTACGTTTGCGGCGCTACACGTGCCACTCCGGAGATGGTTTCGTTCATAATTGAGTTAGTCGAGTCGAGGGATAGTTACCAGGACAACACACTAAGACACCTTAGTTACCAACCTGTATCATAGAGCAACCAAACAAAAAAATAATTATTTGAGAATTGATTAGATATTTTGATTAAATTTCAAAAAAAATGTTTTTTTTCTGAGTTTTGGTACCACTGGTGTACCAATTCAACACTCTACTCAACTACTGTTTGCTCTTTTTGTCCGCGATAAGAATTTTGGGGTCGTCCTAAGCCTCCTCCTAAAGACCATAATGGTTTGAATTTGTGAAACTCTCTCTCGATAACTATGTGTGGTACTAGTTTGTATTCGGTGGCGTCCTCGCTGTTTGCGAATGGATCGGTCCCAGTGTCCCCGGCTGTGTGTATGTGCGTGGAGCATGCGTGTGTATATAAATAGGGAGCCGCTGCGTCGTATCAGATTACCCCATTATTCCGCCAGAAACACCCTTACCTGGCTGACAGCCAAGCAGGCGCAGGTCTGCGCCGGCAGACCCGGGGAGATTGACGTGAAAAGTCCCGACGAACTGGAACTGGATGGCTTGCGATGCGCATGAAAGAGAACCGCATCGGCTGCATCACTCACTCGTCGCTCAACTTCAACGCGAGTTGAAATTTTCGTGCAGAGAGCACAAAATATATATGTATAATAATTATTTTATATTAAAAATTAAAAATTCATATTTTTGAGTTGGTTGCGCAATGGAAAATTATCTTTATATGCATATGAAGAATGTATAAATATTTGCGACCAGTTGTATATAATTTGCGTGCAGAAATATTCATTGAACAAACATTGATAACAAAATGTTTTACCGCTTTATTTATAATTAAAGCTGCAAATGTTGACGATGGCTGGTGATAATTCATGTTGGTTGTGTCATGTGTTCAGTTACTACTCGGAATGTTTGAAAAGTGTGTGGAATCATTGGAATTTCTACAAAATTTCTGATTAATGGCTTGGAATGGATCATATTTTAGTCATTCTTAGAATTTTTTGTAATTTTTAGTTAAAAAACAACACATTTATCTAATTTTAAATTTAGTAGACAATTGGGTATTTACATGGAACTGTTTTAGACCTACAAATAAATTTAATTAATTTTAATTTTGGTAAGCATGAAGCTGGAGTCAAAAGTTAAAAATTAATTTTAGCAAAAACAAAACTTTTTCTCAAAAAAAAATCTAAAAATATTAAAAACGATGCAAATATCTAATTCATTAGGTGAAGTTTATATTTTAAGATTATGATTTTTAAGATAATGTACGCTTGTCTGCAGAACGGAAGCAGTTGTCAAGTCGAAGTGAAGAAAGAAGAAGAATCGCGGTTTGTTAGTTTTGGATCTGTCAATCATCTCAGCAGAGAGACGTCAACTTCTCACAAATTCTCTCCGCGCCCGATTCTAACCAGATGATTTTCCCGAAGACAACTTATTTTGAAGATGTGATCGGAATTTGACTTGGAATGTGTTACTACAAGGTGAGTTTTTCACGTTCAAGTTCTTTATTGCGGCGCGTTGTGTTTATACGTACCTACTTTATACGGATTCTCGTCTCTCGCTCGATGAGAGAATTCTGATAAAGAAATAAGTTACGAAACGGACGCGTTGACCACACACGCTGTAAGACGCCATGATTATTAACTCTTCTCACACCATCAGCGTGCGTCGCACACGACACACAAAAATTGATAATTTATTAAATATGCACACGACGTGTGTGACAAGCACAAAGGAATAAAATAAAAAATAAAAAATTTAAAATATTGCGTTTTTAAAGACATGTTAAATTCATTGCTTAAGTCTAGCGTCTGGGGAATTGTTTATTGTTTGATTTAAACTGCTATTAATGAGTGTAATAATCAAAAAGACAACAAATTTCTCCTGGAACTGATTAGTTTCAACGACTTTTTCTATAAACACACCGCGCGATAAAGTCTGATGACTATTATTAGTGTTATTACTGTTATTATCTCTGTGTTGTAACTATGAAAAATTTATTTATTAACTGTCGTCATAGGTGCATTCTTTATTTGTAAAACTATGGTTTTATCTGGTTGTAATTGTTGTTTGTTTAGTTATAACAAGCGATTCATTCAGAAGCGAATATAAGTGCTTTAATGAATGAAAATGATGTGTTAATCGTGATTATCTCGTATAACCATGATTAAATTTTTGGGACGCACGTTCACCCCCATTCCACACACACCCCAGTCGCTAGGGAGCTAGTTAGGAGACTTGAGTGTGATGCCGGTGTTGCGTCGAGGGGTGTTTTTATGTCGTTTATCATTATCATCTTCGTTAGGCACTTTGTGCGCGCGCTAATGTGCGTTATGCGTTAATCTTCAATTAGTTCCACCTGTAATTAGTTTATCGCGGCCTTGGTAACACTTATCCCTCGTTATAGCAACCACCGCAAAGTGATTCAACAACAAATCATTCAAAATATTCAAATTATTGAATAAAAACTTACTTCTTCGTAAATCGGCATCGTGGAATATTCGGTGAACACCGAAATGGTGTTTTCGAAGAGAAAAGTTGCAATGCTGGACATTGTAAGTGGTAATTTGAAATCGATCTGGTTAAAACTCGCGTGAATGATTAAAATATCAGATTATGGCGCCGCAAATGCAGATTTTATTATGATAGTTAACTTCGATGGGAAACAACCAAGAACTAAGGCACTTGCGTGCACAGTTGCTACGCGAATTGAATTGAGACTTAATTTAATACGACTTGAGTGTGTCGAATGCGAAACATTTGCATTTGCTAACCGGCTCTTCGTTATCGCTTTGTTTAATGCTACTGAATGTTATATACGACACTATCGTTGTATCGAGTTCTTCTAATAGCTTCACACGAAGATAAATATTTTATTATTAATAATTGTCAATGTTTGCAATTAATATATAAATTATACCGTGCATTAAAATACATGCACTCATATATTAAGTGTTATTTCTAGATTTCAAATTTTTGAATTGCATGTAATATTGCCGCACCGTACTATAGGCAACCCAACTTACATCAAAAATAATCCAAAAACTTCAAATAAGTTCAAGTAAATCTTAAATTATTTTAATAAGATTAATTGTCTGTAAATAGAAATTTAACACTCTTTGAGTAAATAATGTAAGTATTATTCTATAATAGTTTATTGTATTGATTTGAATTTCGTTGTTCGATTTTAACCTAATTTATATATCACCTTGGTAATATGTTGGTAGCTTAGCAACAACTCTCAAGTCATCTTTACAGAGAAAGTTTAAGTGATTGTCAGAACGGTATGTGATTTGATTAACTTTAACGCGTGGGGCAGTTTTATAGCCATTTGTTATCAAATCAGAGCAAAAGTCCACCTGTTACCATCATGTATTGAGTGTGTTTGCACCAATACTTGACTTGTGTGCTGATCTAAATAGCTTTTATCTTATCATAGATAATTTACTGCTTAAAATGGAACACATGAGCACATCATTTAAATTTATCATACCTGTTCTTGTGATTATAGGTGTGTTCCAGAATTCGCGAAATATGGCGCCTCTTAGCCCAAATGACCCTAATTCTTTCTCACGACCAGGTATTTATAATTTATAATTTAATTTTGTTGTATGTTTCTGCTTTAATTTGAACAAATATGTTGAATTTCAGATTTGGTTGTGGTAAAACATATGAAGTTTGTTCTTGGAGCTGACTTCAAGGAAAAAATTTTCTCTGGATATGTGGAATTAACTGTAGAAAAGATTGTTGACAGTGCAGATGAGCTTGTAAGTATTGTGATAAACATTTAAGATTAATTTATATTGACATATGTTTATTTAAATGTAGGTTTTGGACACTCAAGAACTTCACATCCAATCTGTGAGTGATAAAGCCACAGGAGCTGCTTTACAACATGAGCAAGTCAATGATGAGAAAAATAAGGTGTTTGGATCCAAGATGATTATAAAATTACCAGCAGGCAATAAGTAAATGATCATGTGCAACATTTATTAATCTTTTACTAACATAAAACATTTTTAGATTTGTGATTAAAATTGATTATAAAACAAGCCCAAGTGCAACCGGCTTACAATGGCTTCTACCTGCACAAACAGCTGGCAAAGTGCATCCATATGTCTTCAGTCAGTTCCAGGCAATTGCAGCAAGAAGTTTTGTGCCATGTCAGGATACACCCAGTGCTAAAATCACTTATGAGGCTGAGGTATGTTTTTAACACAAAGTTTTATTAAAGATTAAATTGAATTGTTTTGCAGATTTCTTGTCCTAAAGAATTAAAAGTTGTAATGTCTGCCATACCTGTTGGTGACCCCATTGAAAATGACAGTGTCAAGATGTATTCTTTCAAACAGAAAGTGCCTGTGCAATCATATTTAATTGCTCTGGCAATTGGTGCTTTGGAATCGCGTAAAATTGGACCGCGTTCTACAGTTCATGCTGAAAAGGAGATTATTGAAGAATCTGCTAAGGAATTTGCTGATACTGAGACTCAGCTGAAGACTGCCGAGGATATCTGCGGACCATATGTGTGGGGAATTTATGATTTGCTTGTTTTGCCACCCAGTTTTCCATTTGGAGGCATGGAAAATCCATGTCTGACATTTGTAACACCAACCTTACTTGTAAGTGATTTAAATAACACTGTAGTATCTATATAACATGCCTTGATTAAATATGTATAAGTTTGAGTACTTATACTAAAGATAAATATGCTTTGCAGGCTGGTGATCGTTCATTAGTTAATGTGATCGGACACGAAATTGCACACAGCTGGACGGGCAATTTGGTAACGAACGTCAATTTCGAACATTTTTGGTTGAACGAGGGTTTTACTGTCTTCATTGAGCGAAAAATCTTGGGTAGATTACACGGTGAGAAAGTTTTGGACTTTGCCGCTTATGGAGGCCTTACAACTTTGAAAGACACGGTAATTTTTTGTTTATTTTTATTTAGAAGAATAATAAACTTACTTAAATTTCATTAGGTAAAACAACTTGGTGAACTGAACCCCCTAACGAGTCTGGTTGTGAAATTGGACGGTGTTCATCCGGATGATTCGTTTTCCAGCATTCCATATGAGAAGGGATACGTTTTTCTGCGATATCTTGAGAAGCTAGTTGGAGGACCCAGTGTATTTGAGCCTTTTCTGCGCAAATACTTCGACACCTACAAGTACAAATCCATTTCTACTGATGTCTTCAAGAAGTTCTTCCTGGACTATTTCGCCGCTAACGCTGCAGTCAAGGAAATCGATTGGGAAACTTGGTTGTACAAACCGGGAATGCCACCTGTTATTCCAGACTACGATAAATCTATTCTGGACTTGGTGACCAAGAAGAAAGAGGAATTTCTCAACTGGAATTCCGAGAGGAGAGCTAATTTTCCGTTCAGTATTGATGAGTTATCTAGTGAACAGAAAATTCAACTGTTGCATGAAATCGTTAATAGCGGTCCACAACCCATTCCAAAGTTGCAAATGTGGGAGCATACATGGAACATGTCCAAGGTGCAGAATGCCGAAATTAAATTTGCTTGGTTGCGCATTGGACTTATTTCAAAGTGGAAAGATATTGTTCAACCGGCTCTGGATTTTGTTAATGATGTTGGCAGAATGAAGTATACTCGGCCGATTTATCGCGATTTTTATGCTTGGGAAGAAGTTAGGCCGCAGGCTATTGAAAATTTCAACAGGCATAAGAAGTTTATGATGCATGTGTCAGCTTTTACATTGGAAAAAGATTTGCATTTAAAATAAGTGTTATATGTAATTTTTCATTTATATCCTTATGATAAATGTACTGATTAAAAAATAATTCAATATAATGTTTATATTTGAAATTTCTACGAATTATTTTATATTCAGCTTACCTTGGGCACAAGGGGAGAGGGAAACCGGCTGTATACTGCGCAGGTCAAAAATCCTGGTGAAATTTACTGAAATTGTGCGAAGATCTGTCGAAACATTTCAACCTCCTCGCACATTCTGCGATCCGAATAATAAAGATCAATTTCTTGCCTAATTTCGCACCGAAAATCTGTCGAAATATTATACCTCCTCACATATTCTGGGTTCCTAATATAAAAAATTAATTTCTCACTGTATTTTAGCCAGAAAATGGCTTAAGCCCCCGCACCCACACACACGCACGACTCCGACAAGGGATGGGTAGGTGTGTGTGTGAGTGTTTTTGAAGCCATTTCGGGTTGAAATTAAGCGAGAAATTCATTTTTGATATTAGGATCGCAGAATGTGCGAGGAGGCTGAAATATTTTGGCGGATCTTCGCGGGATTTCATTAAATTTCACCGCGATTTTCAACGATGACATGAAATTTTTGTTGAATAATTTGCTAAACACGCGATGGTAAATGTTCTATACTTCGCAAACCAAAGGCCCAATGGCAAAGCAGTTTCCCGCATTTCATGGTAAAAGAGTTTCCTTTTAATATGATATATATTTTAATCCTCTGTAGGGCTCAGAACAGCCCTAAAAATGAATGTTTTTGGTAATTTTAAAAATATGCAACGGAAAACCCCCTGTATCTCGGAAACTAAGGACCCAATTGTTATGCTGTGTATAGCATTTTATGGTGAAAGAGCTGCCCTTTAATGTGTTATACATTTTAATCCTCTGTAGGGCTCAGAGCAGCCCTAAAAATGCATTTTTTGAGAATTTTCAAAACATACGACGGAAAACACTCTGTATCTTGGAAACTAAGGGACTAATTGCAATGCTGCTTTCGGCATTTTGTGCCAAAAGAGCTGCCCTTCAATATGATATACATTTCGAACCTTTGTAGGGCTTAGAACAGCCCTAAAACGGACTTTTTTTTTGAGAATTTTCAAAACATACGACAGAAAACACCCTATATCTCGGAAATCAAGGGTCCAATTGTAATGCTGTCTATAGCATTTTATGGCAAAAAGCTGCCCTTTGATATGATATACACTTAAATTCTCTGCAGGGCTTCGAACAGCTCTAAAAATGCATTTTTTTGGAAATTTTAAAAGCATGCAATGAAAAACACCCTGTATCTTGGAAACCAAGGGCCCAATGGCAATGCAGTTTTTTGAATTTTATAGCGAAAGAGTTTCCCTTTAATATGATGTATATGTCAACCCCCTCTAGAATATGGAACATCCCTAAAAATGCTTTTAAAATTTGCATTTTTGGAAAGTATTAAAAACATGCGATGGGAAACACCCTGTAGGTCATAAACTAAAGGCCCAGCGCTAATATGTTCTACAAAATTGTATTACCAAAGAGTTGCCCTTTAGTGTAATGTGCATCACGTATTTCTAAGGTAAGTAGAAAAGCAGAAAAATGCTGCTAAACTTTGGACAATTACCTCAATATTTGATTTTATGCGAACGAAAATGCTCTAAAATATTGTAAAATCGCCGCGAAATTTACTGAAATCGTGCGAAGATCTGTCGAAAAATTTCAGCCTCCTCGTACATTCTGGGTTCCTAATAATAAAAATCATTTTCTCATTGTATTTCAGCCCAAAAATGGCTCAAGCCCACTCACACATACACACGCACGACTCTCACAAGTGATGTGTGGGTGTGTGTTTTTGAAGCCATTTCGGGTTGAAATTAAGCGAGAAATTGACTTTTGATATTAGGAACCCAGAATGTTCGAGGAGGCTGAAATATTTCGACAGATCTTCGCACGATTTTAGTAAGTTTCGCTATGATTTTACAATATTTCAGAGTATTTTCGTTCACATAATAACAAATATGGAAGTTATTAAACAAAGTTTAGCTAACATTTTCGGATTGTTCCCGGAGACCAACATTTTTAGTCTTTATTAAAATTGTGCCCTTGATTTGCGCGATACAGGGTGTTTCCCATTGCAAAACTAGTTTTTCTTCTCTTTTTTTAAGCAAAATATATTCTGAAATAGCAAGAAGAGAACTCAATCCAGGTAAGGTCAAAGAAAAACAGAAAAACAATAATTTGACGTTTGAATCAACTTTATTTATGGCACATTAAATACTTACAATAATTATTATCGGTCGACACAAATTGGAACTTACATTATCTCAATCAATTAACTGTAATAACAAAAGGCGTGTACATTTGCATTCTTAACACTATAGTATAACATTACGATAATATACAATATAAAGGATCGAATGTAATTTAGAATATAATCACATTAAGGGTGTATGTACCTTAGATCCAATGTGTCAAGGGTGTAAGACAATCAAAATTGGAACATGTTCGTAAAATATCGACAATCTGGTAAACACGACAAAAATCTTTATTAGTTTTGATTACTGTATTAGTTTATATACATTTTATTATGTGATAATACATATTGCATTTTGGAGGACTGTTCATTTTCAAACATCTTTGGCAAAAGTAAAAGATTAATAACTGCTCAAAAGCGAAACAACACTATGCATTATTTTCGCTCATCGAACCAATACGGTTATGTACATTAAAAATCGAAAAATATATTATAAAACTAAATCTTTGAATCTTCATAGTAAATACTTAAACATTTAAGTAGGTGTTGAATGTACATATCACTTGTAGATATAATTACACAGGATCAATAATTTAAAGCCTCTGAACAACAATCATCTGATCTAAGCATAGAAATGTGTTTTCTTTACTAAATACTTTTAAAAGAATGCAAATAATGCAAGTAAATGCAAATCGCCGTATTCAACCAATCCAAGTTTGAAAAAACTCTTGCATGTTTCGGTAGATACTGAACACCAGTTTTCGGTACGTGGGGTACGAGAATAGTTTTGGTCGAATTACGAGTTACTACTTACCTCCACATCGTGGCGAGCCACCGCCTTTTGGTTCCCACTGTTCATAAGTGATTCGCTAGGGCGCTCGCCCACGGCCGAACCAATCGCATTAATTAATATCAAAATTAATATCGGAATTATTTCAAAAGGGAACTCTTCTAAGTTTGTTTCACATTTCCGCGAGAAATGTGGCAAGCTTTCTTATAAATGTTTCGGTCGACGTTTTCTCATAGATGCGTCTAAAAATAAATCGTAATTACTACACATTCTAATTAATAAATCTATAAGAAAATTAGCAACATTCAAAGCATTATAATTTGGTCAACTTAAATACAATCGCATAGTTGGTTAAAAGATCATCTTACACTAAAAATTTCAGTTTTGTTATAATTTAAAGATGTTTATCATGCATTTTTCAAGAATGTATAGATAAGGTGAAAGAAGTACGTGCTAACAAAGAATAAGAAAACCACTACATCCCAAAATGTTAAAACAAATCAATAAGAAACCCAGAAACTACCAAATTCCAAAGTAAATACTGATTAATCCCTTCTATTCATACATCTCGTTGAAATTGCACTGTTCTTGGAAAAAGGTGTAAGTAAATCATATATCAAACGTTCAAAAATACGTGTTGAAATATTTTGTATTTCCTATGACCATACGCAACTGCTGCTCAACATCGTAACATGTGATTTTGATTTCAGAATTCAAAATTCCATCAACCACAAATTGTTTAAACATATTAGATAGCAACTGCACAGAGTTTAATCAATCTTCAAAAGCACATTTAGAGCAAGTTTACTTATGATATAACAGGTCAGAGAATATCCACTGTAAACGAAAATCATACCAGAATTCGGAAGTGTCTAACATCACAATGTTGTAAGAAGTCCATGAAAATTCATATTATTGTATGTGCAAAATATGCCTTCTAACAACCTGAGCAAATCCAATTCCTTGCCATTTTTTTATATAATTTATATAATAATTACGATACAAATCAAAAACTTAAACTACTTTCCATTGATGCAACTTAACAATTCGTTAATAAGTACAGTGTGCACATTTTACGTATAGTATTCTCCTAAATTCAATCACAAATATAAAATTGATATCGTGTTATTATTAGTTTATTCGAATAATATAACAATTATGATATAATCATCAATCAGTCAATAATATTGCATAATTTTCTTGCATTGTTACTTGCTCATGATTTATGCTATCGATTCAAGAAACGAGTGTATGCTCAAAACTAAAAACCTTGCAACTCTTCTGACATTGCATGTCAAATCAATTCTTTCCGGCACATGATTTTTCCTCTCGCATCAAATAGAAAAAGTGGCACTACTTCAATGTGTGAAAGTGTGAACTATACATATACAATAATTTACAATAATGCGTTTAACATTTACAATTAGTTTGCGCTAGCTAATACTGTTTACAAATGTACTAACTATAGCGAATATAATTACATTTTTTTGTTTATAAGCTAGACTTGTTTTTGTACAGACAATATTCGATTGAACTTCGTTTGGAAATTACTTGTCCAAGATATTCTGATGAGTATATTAGAATTTTACACAGTTTACTTCAAGCGGTGGCAACGAGGGAAGAGTTTTGAGCAATCAAACAAAACTACTGGATGAAGAACATGGTGTGGATAATAATAAAGTCGGCGCACATTTCACTTGGCTGTGAACAAATTAGGCCCCGGAAAACTCTCCCAATCTCGTTGCGATTTCGGCGTGCCACAATATTTACGCATCATACAAATTTATTTCAAACAGCAACAACATTAAGCATATGTTCTCGACATTATTATACACATATTGACAATTTCTTTACTAGTATAGTATAATCTCAACGATTCGCAAATTTACACGTGATTAGTTTTCTTTGAACAATTTCGTACATGTTTCATTTAACTGCAAAATCTGAATCTACTATAATCAACCATTATTTATTTACACTGTAATTGAATTATTCTAATTGCATATCTCTTTTGATAGTTTTGCGACGTACAGTAAAACGATAGTATGCTCGCATAAATAAATTACCTACTTATCGCAATTATCGTAAAATTATATATCGGAATGATTATATTGTCATTATACGCAGGATGACAGCTTGTTCGTTATTGCATTCGTTTGATAAATTTCACCAGTCGATGTAGTAAAATCTTTCCGTAGTCTGAAAGAAATAAATCGAGTTATTTCCGGCGTGGAAAATAAAAGAAACGACCGATTAGTCAATTATTCAAAAATCTTATTGCTTTATGAGCCATAAAACAAAGATAAAAACACGACATGCTTCATTAATTATTATTTATCTGCGTCAACAATAGCGAACAAACTGTCTCGAATAATTAAGCTTAAAAACAACACAAACATATAAATAAATATAAATTAAAATAATCTATAATTTTAACTGGTTAATTGGATTGTTAAAATTAATATTCGGAATGGTAAATTTGTTTAACATCTTAATAAAAATCGTATTTTGTGAAAAAATTAAGACCTGATGTTGTTATGTTTAATGAAAACACTTGTTAAACGTTTTGCTCGACCTTCCGCATTGCAGTTAGTCACGTTAATCATTGTTAAAATGTTACGTTTTTGAAGATTTCTTTTATTTTGATCATCGTCAATAAGCCGCATGCAACTAAAATGCTCTCCGATGCAAGTGCGAATCGCACAGCATCCAAATTAATGGTAGTCTTTCTCAACGCGTTTCTTCAGCTGTTCCTAAATTCCCCGTTGGATGAGAGCGCAAGCATGAAGCAAGAATATAACAAAACGTCAGTGTACACAGCATTCAAATGTAGAATCCATTGTTAATTGATTAATTCGTCCTGGCGTGTAAAAGTGATAAAACTTTGAAGAAACTCTCAGAAACTATTCCTACCAATAGTCTCGATAAATATTCATCAAAATTAGTATTTGTTACTTAGTAATCTCATAATTCCTTCAAACTTTCACCAATGAAACTCATCTTTCTTTTCTTAATGGAGGAAATATTAAGGTATTAAAAATTGCTGTTAATAAAAGTCGTGTGCAAAGTGATGGACGCAACCCAACATGAAAATGAACTCAATACAACGTGTGCTGGTTAATTTATAAGTAAAAAATCAATGTTAGTCATTCGAGTGTGGTCGTACTGTGTACACAGACGATCAGAACGGTGCAAAAACCAAATGAATCCTAACGTTCACACGCCAATTTGCATTCGTTTCGTTAAAATCACGACTGTTTCTGTACGCGTCGCCTATAGTATCGAGTACTGTTGGAGGGTGTGTTTTGCTTAGATAGAACACTCACCATTTCCGTCGTCAGGCAGTTGATAGCGTGTTCGACGGTTTTTTTGCTGTGCGTCGACGTGGTTGACCCTTGGCGTAACGGCGTCGACGGACATCCTGTGCACATTTTCTCTAGCTCACTTTCATGCATTTTCAGTTTCAATCGCTTAATATTATGAATTCACCATACGCAACAACAATTATACTTTGTGCCAATCAAGTTTTTATAATATTTACAATACATATTTGTTAAATAAAACTTGTTGTGACTGATTTTTGATTGGCGCAAAGTATCATACATCATTCAATTGTCGTTCAAGTTTCGTTTTTGTTCGAGTAAAAATTTTAGATTAGAGATTATTGATTATAATAACACATTGATCATTAGTAAATTCTTGTGAGTACGTTAAAGTTGCTCAACAAGATTTTGTTCAGTCTTTGCAAGTTGCCATTAAAATATTAAAATATTTCAACATGGTTTTTAGTAGTGTTTACCTAAAATAAAATGAAAATGGCTAGCAAATAGTGAAGATGATTCGAAAATAGAAAAGGGCAGAGAGTCAAGATCAATAATTGTAGATAATCGGTAAGGAAACGGGTGCATTAGAGTGCAAATATTATAATCAATAACACTAATCTAAAATAATTCCAAAAAACAAAACTATAAACAAACCAAAAAAGGTTACAATTCATGAAATAATCCCAAAAAATCGTTAAATTTCTTTCTCTTGCAGGAAAAATAACTTAAAACTTGGAAACAAATTTAATTTTTAAGTAAGAGAAAGTTTATAAAACATTTCTTTGCGATTTACTTCAACATTTCAAATCAAATATCACACAAGACAGTAAAATAGTTCAAATTAAAGACGCATGCAAACGATTAAGAGTCAAACACTCACCCATATCACCGCTACTCGACGACTCCGTAAACGAAGGTGTGCCTTCCGTCCACGTAGGTGTCGATCCTTCAACAGAGGCAGGTGGAGTCCAGGCCAAGCCTCTGGAGTGACTCGAATGACCAGCACCCGAACTGCCCGATTCGACGCTCAACGATGACTTATTCTCTGCGCGCGATTCCAATCTAATATCAGTTATACTAGAATTAAACACAAGCGATCAAGCACTGACAACACCCACATAATGCAGCAACATGTCATACCTCACAGCATCCTCTCGATAATTCCTCACCGTGACGTGCGAGGTGTGCGTGGCAACACGCGCCCGGCTTGGAGGCGGCGTCGGGCACATACCATCATGAGCACTGCCGGTAACGCCGGCGGCCGCCCTCTGCTCCAGCACCTCGTCGAAGGTCGGCGGTGGCGTACTGCAGCAACTTGGCACTACACCTGAGGAAATACACAAGCATAAACTACAATATCGCTCCACACTAGCGCTATTTCAACAAAAGTAAAAAGAATCACGACTAAAAGTCTCCAAACAGAGAGAGTTTTTATAAAACACTATTTAAACTAAGACAGAAGACAAAACTAACAAACTATGAGCATTATTTATACAATTGAAACAATCTAAGCGTATGAATAACACCAAGAAGTAAAAAGAATCCCAATTCTTACATTTTCCATTCAGAAAATAAAGAATTTTAATGTCAAACTAAAGCAAAGTCAACCACACGTTACACTACGTAACTGCGAAATCTTTCGGGCACCTCCCAATAAATAATTGAACCTAATAAATGAGAATAACAAAAGATAAATACAATTATAATTACAGTGAGAAGCAGAACAATCAAAAGTCACAATAGAAGCAAGTACAAAGCAGGACAACTTCAACAAGCTTGAACGAAACTTTGAACGAATACAATGCAACGCGCTAAATATAAATGTCTGGAAATTTTAGTGGAATGCTGTTTATTAAAAGATTCGGTTTGTCCAAATATTGATTCGAAATGGAGCGCATATTCAATCGGTAGCTGGTGTTGTAAATTGGAAAGTCGTTAATGTACAACTTTTCAAAACTCAACGTCGCCATCGACTCCCGCGAGCACAAACTTTCCACCGACTCAAAACTTTTCAGTTTTAATTCAGCGCAAAGAAGTTTCTTTGGATTCGCACTAATATATCGAATATTAGCGTTGTGAACTTCGTTCGGCCGGTAGGAGACTTCCAAGATATCGTCACAGAACGATTTCTTTCGTCTCCGCGCTCGGTCTCCTGGTTTCAGAGGAAATTCTTTGTACTGAGTGTAATTTAGAATGAATGTATCGGGGCAACTCTTACGTCGGCCGGTGCAGTGGTGCATGTTGGAGAGAAAGCGACCTACGGCAAACTTACTCGCAAGCGAATCATGCGCGCCCGTTAAAAGCGAAGAAGAGCACTCGTCATGCACGTAATCATGCTGCGCACCTTTGCCGCCACCCAGGCCGCCGCCGCGCTTATTTTTCGGCGTGCCGCGCGGCGGTACCGGCGGAGGTATTTTCGGTTTGTTCTCCGCCGTCGGCCGCCCGACCAGCACGGCCGGGTAGGCCGCCGGCGGCGAGGTTAAAGGAGCTGTCGAGGTTGGGGTTTGTGTGGCCGGTGGGGAGGCTTTCAGTGGAAGAGTCTCGGTCGGGCTCGCTGCTCAAGACGGAAACAGAGAAAAAAATAGTATTAAATACACCACAATTCGCTGGCCAGTCCACACGAAAAGTTTTGTAATTCATCTAAACAAAAGAGAGTCGAAAAGAGAGAAATCAAAAATCAACTCCAAAAGCGTTTTGAAGCTGGTGATATAGAGAAGATGAGCGAATGAAAAGCACGATCATCGTCCATTCAACCTCACCGACCTCGAAGGAAAGCGCACGAGAATGTAGCCCAAAACTTAACGTAACTTATATAATACGAGACTCGTAGAGACAAATAAAGTTAAGCGAACTCACCAGTTTTGCTTCCATTCTGTTGACTAGAGATTACTTGCGTGGAAGCTGAACACAATATAATTTAATTAGCAAATACAGTTGTTTTTAATCCGGAACAACAAAAGCTCAAAGAAGTTTCCATCATACTCCATACCATCCGGTTAAACACAGCACAGACAAGCAACTCTCAATGAAAAGAAAATTTGAATATTGTATCCAAAACACACCCACACCGGGGAGCGGAAAACAAAACGCTAAAAAAACATAAACAAAGCACTTACTATTGTTATCCAGCTCATCGTGCGCGCCGCGTAAAGGTCTAGACAATGATTTCCTTTTCGACGGTGAATGTTTTAGAGCTGGAATGAAGAAATAAACCAAAGTATTAGCCAACTGCGTCTAGCGTCTACAACCAACTGCCAAAAACGAACAGAAACATTAATATTAGATTTAATATTAAAATATTAAATGCGTTTGTCTAAAGAAAATAATTAGTACTTTTCAAATTAATATAACAAAGCGAGACTAATCAAATTCAATCTTTCGATTAAGTAATAGTAGTAGTTTTGTATTAGTTGTTACCTTTCACAAATCATTTGTGTTTCTGTGCGTAGTGTTCTTAAATAATCATGATGTAGCTTAAGTTAAAGATTTTTGATGTGTTGTATGCACAAGCTTGCAGATGTTGTATGACTGGATGTGAAAATAGTGTTGTTCAGTGTGTTCACACTCGATCAGAAATCATAAAAGTCAAAGCAACGAAAGAAACTTAGGGGAAGCATACAGATTACGTCACAAGTACAACGACAGTTAAAAATTATTAATCTAGAGATAGAGATACAGGGGGACGTTACCTATATAGCTCGTAACCAATGTGCGGAATTTACGATGGTTGCCTTTAACTTCGGGCAAATCCACTACATGAAGCATTAAAACACACACACATGTAAAATACGTTGAGTGTATCTCGGCCACACAGCGTCCATCTGCATGGACTCGCATGGCGGAAGAGAAGAGAAACATATTTATATGCGAGAGGGGTAAGTATTTGACACTTAACGGAGGTGTACATTTATCAAAAACTCGATCGCTTTGGGTCAGTCAACACAACAATATTTCAGTCATGCTATATCGGGTAGAAAATTTTGATCTAGCATGAGATGATAATGATTTCCTGCTTCCGAAATGACTGTAATTACACGGAATTGAATTTTTTCATTGATTGATGACTAGCGAAAGTTACCGCGACCCATTAAAGTTAATTTTACTTAATACCTCTCACCAATATTACCGGTTATTTCTCCCAATAAAATATTGACTGCAAAAGTTACAACTTACGTGATGGAATCTTCTTAAAGACCTTCTCGGCCATGAAATTCTGAAAGCGATTGGCGTAGAAGCTGGGCCGATGCACCGACACAGTATCCTTAAAACCAGAGAAACACAAAAATCAATACACAACACTTATGCAATTACAACTTTCACATACCCCGTCGTGAATGAGCGACTTCCACGAGTGCTCCAGTTTTTTCCTCAATCTGTAGCTCTGGAGAATGTCGATGATACCGATGTAGAGCAGGAGGCGTTCGCCTTGCGCATTCCGCGCTGGAATTCCACCGGGACTAAAAACAAAAACGCATGTTATTATTGCGAGCGCACAGCGCAGCAGAACAGAGAAACATCCAAACACAATGGACAAAAACCGTTACAATTGCATCCCAACACGCCATTTGCCAATACTTTGTGTGTGTGTGTGAAATTTCGCAATTTGAAGCATTGATTTTGTTTTGTGTGTTTGCATCGCATTGTGAGTCTAAATCCAATCAATCGCATGAATTGTCATTTGAACGAAATCGATTTATGCCTTTTTTTATGTGCAACACCAACAGCACAGCAACAGTAAAACACGCATGTAGTAGCTGATGTACCTGTTAAGACCTGTCATGAAAGGTAGTTCCCGGCCGGTGTTCCACAGACTGACGAATTTAAAAACGAATTCAAACAATAGCATATGAGATAAAAATAGTATGACACATGCCGCATAGAAGAATAAATATAGTGCGAAGAAAGTATGTGTAACAGACTTTTCAGCATTCCGATAGACAACGTGTTTCAAGTAAACGTTAAAAATAATCAGAATAACTCATAATAAGAAGTAATGCGGTTGAATTTAATTGAAAGTTAAGTATAGATTTATGTATGTCACTGTCGAAGCGAATGTCGAAGAGATAAATGTAGCAGCGGTGGCGAATAATAAAGATAGCAGCTCGCCGCCAAACGGGAAATGTACTTACGGCACGTCATCTTCCTCGTCGATGGGTTCTGACTCGGCCTGAATACTCTCCATTGCGGTCGAGTGCGCGACCAGCCGCTGCCTGTTGATCGAGCGGCTGCGATTCAACAATGCCGCCGCCCCGATTCGATCCTCCCGCTCGCGATCTCGCTCGTTGTTCAGCATCGACACATTGGCGTCACCTTCACCGTCTTCTTCCGGCACTTCCTCCAAATTTTCATGCGATTTTTTACTCTGAAACACATAATTTTAGTATTTTAAGATAAAATTGTATCCTTTAAAACAAAAAATATTAATTTACTTACAGCTTTCTCGCGTTGAGCTTGATCTAAATTATGAACACCAACTAAAAGACTGTAGTCCATGATTTTGAAGCTTTCCAGCACGCGGCAATCGCGTTGTATCGTCTTGACGAGCGCAGAATAAGTGTCTGCCTCCATTAAAATACCCTCCGGATGGTGTTCCATGAAATCCAAGTCTTTGTACGTCGGCGAGCGCTTCTGGCGTTCCGCCTTCGACGCCTTACGCTTGTAAGTGCTGCCTTTCAGATCGTACTTCATGTGCAGCGTCACGAAGCTGGGCAATAGGTTGTTCATCACGACTAACCGAACGTTTTTACTATTACATTGATAACAATATAATCCAAAAAACTTTGGCAACAATGTCCTAGGATTCTGATTCAAATTCATATAATAACCTGCACAGGAAATACACAAATATGAATATCATTTAGCATATTTATTTATAGATGTACAACTTACCAGCTAATAATTTTTGTAAAAACTCTCCTTCTTTGTGTTGTACTGTCTTCACAATGAACTCGTCATCGTCTGTTAAATAGAAAATGGAACCGCTAGCACCTGGATTCGATAACTCCCTTAGCGGAGAACTACACATGGACATCTATAAATAATCCCAATTAAAAATGATTAAAATTGACTGTAACTATCCAAATTACCAAAAAATCATCCGGTTGGATACCAAACAAATCACGAAAGTATCTAAATGCAATCGGAGCGTAATTCTTAAACTTAAACTCGGAATAATGATGAGCGGGCGTGTGATTTGAGCCGTCCTGCGGGAAGTTCGTGGTCTCCACCGTCATAAAGTCCTGCATCAACAGATCACGCTCCGGCTTCGACGCTAGACCGCCGACGGCATGTTGAATTCCTTCAAACAAACACAAGCAAACAAAAAACACGGTCACAATCTCTGATAACACCAGTATTTACCGATTTGTATCTTGTTATGAAAGTGTGATGTCACATATTGCCACAGCATAATGTCAACAGCACGCACATTTATTCAAAATACTTGTATCAATCAAGCAGTAATTGAACTAATTGCAGTTAATTCGCGCGCCGCGCGAGTGTCGGTAAACTGCCCCCGATTGATGCGTTGCAAGCAATGCGAGCCACGATAAGAGATGCACACAACAGCTCGCAAGCAGCCGGTCGTGATCGTCACGACGATGACGACACGCAGCACACAACACGGAAAATTTATGTTTCTTACGATGCGGCGCGATACACAATGCGATTGTTGGTGCAGATAGCGCATAAATCACGCCTCGCGCGAGCTACATTATTTAGGTATTCGTACTTTTGAGTGGCCATCATCTCGCATGATTTAATTATGTGTAATTAACACAATTTACACATGGTGTTAAACGTTGAACAACGACCGCTGGATAGATACAAGGTGCAAATTTAAAATCAATAAACAAAACTGTAACTTTCACAGGCGCACAGGAAAAACACTCGAAATAAGTGAATATTTACCGAGTTGAATGGAACCCATAATCTGCGTCGACTGGATCTTCTTGTAGGTGATTTCGCCGCCGACGCCGACACGCCGATGACCAATTTTTCGCTCCCTGTCGCGTTCGCGTTCCGCCTTGGTGCGGGGCAGCGGTGTTTTCGGCGCATACTGCGAGCCCTAAAGAATAAAACAATTGATTTGTCAAGTACACACTGTATCACAGTCACTAATATTATTTCCTATTACCACATCAAACAACTCATGATTTACTTGGGTCATATTTGTGTACGCGTCGTAAATAAATCTTCGATTTCTCAACGGTTTAATCAAATACGCACACGCGAAACATCGTTTGAAGTCGACGTCAATTTCGTGAACGTATTTTCGATACGTATGTTTGTTATTTTTGCGCCACGGCTCTCGTTCGGCGTAATGAAATCGTAATTAAATCGTTTGACTATGTTGTGGGATCAGTTGGATTAATATTTATTGAATGGTTATATGGATAATGTTAAACAGGCGCTTATGCAGCGAGGCCAATGAGAGATTCATGTTAATGCAAACAAATTCGAATGCAGTTTACATAGTGCTTATTAAATTCGCAGCGAAAACGTTTAAAACAATTTTGTTTTGTGTGTTCAATTGGCGAATACATTCACGGCCATTGCAACGAACTTGTACTTGAATAATGTGTGGTGTTAAATGAGTTTCCTGCGTGGCTAATTAATGATTCACCGCAGATACAGTGAATGCAGGAACAATTACATGCGAACACAAAATTCATAAGTAAACATCGTAATTTTCGATTACCATCGTGATAAGCTGTCGATAACATAAATGATGCAATTTTGTGAACCATTTGTTTTTAAATTTGAATTATTCTCTCGTATTTCCTAACAATATTTAATAAAATAATATTAAACATGACCTAATGAGTTATATCACCATTATTTAAATTTTTTTTTTTAATATTTGCGCATATACTTTTTTATTTTCTTTCTTTTACGATGATTTCGCAATAATTTAATATTTCATCAATTTTTGTCAATGAATTGTATCCAAGATTCGCCGATAGAACGAGTTATCGGTTATGTTTCAAGGCTGCCCGACCGTTTTGCTTTGACACGTGTACGTGCATCCACAGCTCGCATGCAAATTAATTCACAATGTATTTAATTACGCCCATGATTTTCCCGGAAAATATTCAAACTTTTTATTGATATGAGTGCCAGCGTATAGTTTACTACACGTCTAGGAATTCAAAACAAACAATTTAACTCTGACGTGATGATAAAGTTTCTAGAAAACTCGTAAATTGTGTTTTTTTCAGCAGCGGAAGCTTATCAGCTGTGCCACACGCTGGTTAATCATTTCGTAAAGGAAAACAATAAATGTGGTTCATTATCACCGGCTCGCCGCAAGCCAGATAAATTAAAAAGTGCCAATCTGAGTCGTTGAAATTTTGCAAACTTTTAAAAACGTTAAAAACACACGCTATTATTAGCCTAGTTTATAAACTATTATTACAACCATAGGAACTTTAAAATGTGACCAAAATAAACAACAAAAACTTTCCTGTGTGTTTTAACTTTTGCACAAATGCTTTCACCGCATCACAAAATCGATAGTTTTTATAAAAGTCACGCAAGTAAAAAAATAGTTTTCAGATAATCGCTTTTCAAGTCTCAGCAGGCCGAAAGAAAAGCGGGAAAATGGCAGCGAAAAATGATAAGATATCTTTAAACGTTTATAACTTTTGCCCGTGTGTTCCAATTCTTATGAAATTTTCAACAACGAATCTAAATCGATGAATTTAAAAATTAAAGAAAATTTTTTTTATAAATTTTTATAATAAAACAGCGACATTAGGCAGATATTGATTTTTTCTCGACAATTTTCAACCAATAAAAAAATAAAACAAGCGTTAGATGTGGTAACGTAATAAACTTAATTAAACAAAATGCCATCCCGCACATAAATAATTCAATAATCTATTTTAACACAACCATAAATATTTTCCATGTTCTAACAACCCTGATATTCCAGTAACACCAAAATAACCCAGCCTTGTTATGTTATTCGTATTCGTTTTTAATGGCACGCCTAAAAATACAATGCAACCTGTATGTTTGTTACAATTAATAATTCATTCGTAACTAGGTGTTCCAATATTTGCTCGGTAGTCTCCGGTTTCGACACTGTGTGAATAATAACCGAATGACTAAACCACAAAACGAAATCAGACAATCCAGACGCGGTCGCCGCGTACTTGTTACGATGAACATTTGAACATGTACGAGTTTATGTAACATCACATTATGGCGTGCGCCTCAGCGTTTGTTATAATAATGTTACATGGAACTTAATTCGGTCTCATCCGCGTTCAAGTCTACCAATTTATTGTTATCGTTCAGTGAACAAGCGTATAATTTCACAGTTTGTTCGCGTTTCAGCAAGAAATTATTTATGACGGGCGGAAAAATTTGTTTTGTAGCCCAAGGGAGGTTTAAAAGTTTAGTATGGGTTGAAATATAATTATTTTAAATAAAAAATGTATGATTTTGATTCAAAAAACATTATTTCCACAAAAAGTAGAAAATATTTATAAAAAGATCAAAAAATATTTATAGCTTGCGAATGAACATATTTTAAAGCCCAAAAGTGGTTAAAAAGTTAGTATAACTTGAAAGACATTAGAATTTCATCAAAAAATGTCAGTTTTTCATTAGTTAAACATTATTTCAGCGAAAAAAGTTGAAAAAAATCAAAATAATCATAAAATTATTGATAGCTGGGGAATAAATATGTTTTGCGACCCAAGGGTGATTTAAAAACCTAGTATATATTAAATCAAACAATAATATTTCATTTAAAATGTCTGTTTTTTGAATAATCAAACATAATTTCCACAAAACATAGAAAAAAAATTAATTTTTTCCTGTTTTTTCTGGGTGGAAAGCAATTTTAACTTATAAATTCGCTCAATTTGCATTGTTAATGTTATTATCTTGTTTCCCTTTATGAAAAACACAGGAATATTAAAAATTTAATAATATTTGCGCAGGTGGGTATAAAATTCGCAATTTATTTGAATTACATCCATCCACGCTTTGTCCCAATAAACAATTTCTGTTCTACTTACATCGTTTCCCAGTTTTGCATTGCCTTGCAGTCGATTATCTGAAAACAATAACAAAAACTATTATAGACATCAATCACAAAACAAGATAAGATTGATTTAGACATGTGAATCATATCATCAAGAATTCCAACTTGAAACATGTTGCAAAAAGGTGAAAATGGCTGTGTTTTACATACGTATCGAATTATGTGTTGATAACAAAGTAATAACTTGAATGTTTTTGCTATGACTACACCGCGTATTCTGGAAAACCTTGTTCGAAGTTGTTAAAAGCAAAAAGGATTCGCGGCGTGTGTAAACCTTGAGGGCGACGGTCGCTGACAATTGGGAGCTCCCGAATGATACACTGCATGTACATCAAACAATTGATGATTCATAAGAGCAAACTGGACAAAACCGTTCGGGGACATGGACGGAATCGACGGAATTTCGCTCGGGTCGATATTTTTATTGGTTATATACTCCTCGGGCAACGAACACGCACCGCCATGGTGTTGGATTGTCCATTAATGACCTACAAAAGACACGATGGAAACGCGGCGCGTTCGTGAAATATGTGAAAACATTTGAATAGCCATCGCAGACGAGCAAATCGAGAAAGCGCACGGGCACTCGTACGACTTCCTCAATATCAACGAAATTCCGTTATTAGTATGATCCGGTAATGAACGAATGAATGCGCCTGCAGGTGTTCCAACAAGCTGGGAGTTTTTTTTGTGTGTGTTACCTTCGATGTCTGAGCTGTTCTCGGCGCCGAACGCGAACTCCTTGGCGTTGTTCGCCGCTAAAGACGAGTCGTCCACTTCGATGCTCTCAATGTTATCACCCGAAGCCATTTTGTGCACTGTGCTTGCTCCTTTACGCACTCGGATTCACACGAGGACACGCGGCGCGTACCGCATGACGCGCTGCTTCGATTCCCTCGATTCGCACGGCGAGGTTCGCCCGATCGGTACTAATTGATCCGCGCCGAATTCATCGCGATTCCGCCTGTCTATGCGTGCTGGCTGCGAGCTTCGTGCGCTTCCTCTCCCATCATACGCTGTTCGTCATCGATAAACCGTTCGCCACTTGACAACACCACTGACAGTTGCGTTTGGCATTCACATATTTGCCTCCCACTTTCGGCATGAAGGAAACAGCGCGTGCGTTACAAACACATTTTAAAATTATCCGACTGAATATTAATATATTGCTTGCAAAATAGCGTTAATTATGCGTAATTTGCTTGATTATTTTAGCTTTTAAACTAATCTTAACCTAATTTACTGTTAACTTTGTTTCAAAGTTGGTAGCACCGCAAATCAAATTAAAATTTGTGTATACTTGGTTGCATATAATGGTTGCATAGTATTTCACGTATTTCACAAAGCTTGTAACCCAAATATTGGAAGTAAAAGTTATTTAAAGCAATACAAAAACCTCAATACTTTTAAAACTATTTAATAATTACCGTTAGTTTTAAACATCGTAAAGTTCCATTTTTATTTTGAATGGTTCTTATCCTGGCTAAACTCAAGGTCATTAAATGTGAGGTTATTGTTGTTATTGACTGTTATGACTTGGGCTACAAAAGGAAAGCGGCAAAAACTACAAAATCTAACTATAACTCATATTTTACTTAATTCTGTTTGTTATATTTCGTGATTTCGACGTTTTTGTGACTCAAAATGTCACTTATATACATCAATACGTGAGTAAACTTGTTTGATTAAAACTGCAAACATTATACCTTTATTTAACTTATTTAGAGACACTACCATCACACCAGCAGAATCTGAGGTGAAGACAGAATCACACACCACTGATGAGCAGTCACAAACCCAGAGTGAGGCTCAGGCAGCCCTCAGTCAGTTTTGGGCTAAAGCCATGGAAGAAATTCGTGCAATTCGCGTCGTAAGTTAACATTGAATAAGTAATTGTTTAAATAATGCACAAATTCTTTTTTAGATGGACTTGAAACAACAAGTTCTACCCCTGGCAAGAATCAAAAAGATCATGAAACTGGATGAGGATGTGAAGATGATCTCAGCAGAAGCGCCACTTTTGTTTGCCAAAGCCGCCGAGATTTTTATTCATGAACTAACGTTGCGGTCATGGATTCACACCGAAGATAACAAACGGCGCACGTTGCAAAGAAACGACATTGCGATGGCAATCACGAAATTTGACCAGTTTGATTTCCTTATTGATATTGTGCCTAGAGATGACATCAAACCCAACAAGCCTAAAGAGGAAGGCGTCGCCAGAGCCGTGGTGAATCCAGAGTATTATCTGCAGTTGGCCCAACAGCATCATCATTCATTACAGCAGAATGTCACGACTCAGGCGCAACCTACAAGTTCAGCGATACAGATTGTCCAACCACAAGTTCAGACTGTGCAGGTTAATCCATTGGAACAGGTAATTTGGTTTTATTTATGTATTAAATAGTTTTTATAATTTTTATTGTTATTTTAGACAACTGCAAGTACATCTGCAACGCCGACAACCCAACATGCACCTGTGTTAATTCAGCAACCCGCAGCGCAGGCAGCGGCGGCTCAGGCGCAATCTCCAACTGGTGGAATTCAAATTGTTCAACAAATTGTTACACCTAATGGAGAAGTACAACAAATACCGGTAAATTAGTTTAATTTTCAATAGAAGCTTGTATTTTGTACCTTTTATGACTTAAAGTCAGCATTTTAATCTCTATTGAATGTATTTATCGAAATATTATACAAAATTCTTAATTTTTTGCAGATACAACTCTCTCCGCAACAATTACAAATGATTCGAATGCAATTGGCGAACAACACATCGCAACCGTTGATTATTCAAGCCGCGCCAATTCAACAACCCACTCAACCCCAAATTATTCAGGTAATAAATTATTTAAAGCGTACGGGGTATTTTTTAATACAAATGTGTTTATTTTCAGGTCCAAGGAAGTGGCGGCCAACAAGTTTACTTAACACAAAGCAACGGCAGTACCGAAAGCGAATGATCTACAAGATTACACAATATTATTTAAACACGCATTATTTTTATAATTTAAACTATTTTTCTCGCGTTACGACGAGCGTCATAAGAAAAATAAACATTGACACAGTGTTCACTGATTATGATCATGATTCTCATTCAAATTTTTTTTTGTATTTGCTTACGTTGATATTTTGAAAACAATGATTTGCAAATGATTACAACCGCCGAAAACAAGTATCACGAGGTGCGGTTGTGGTTCTGTATATTCTTGTGTCAACATATTTACATCATTACATCGCATTATCGACTAAATGCCTAATGCATCTATCAGTTCCATGTGTTTCCATATCTGTTGCGTGTAATTAGTGAATTAGCTTTTTATTGATCCCTCCCTAGAAAAAAAGAAGGTACACACATATTTTATCTATTGACTGGAGGTAGATGATGTGACTGCAATAAATATGAATTTATTGTATTCGTTTTTACGATTTCCTACCTTTCGAACGTGCTTGACGTGAAACAAGTTGTGCAACTTTGTGGGAAAATGTACACGCATTGTCCGGTGCTTTATTGTGCGGCTTCTGATGTATGGGTCGATGAACCCACCAAAAATGGTAGCGAAGGGGTATTTATTATTGAATGTTTTATAAACGACTTTTTTTATTAGGGATTATTATCTACTCGATGATAACTCCGGTCTTGGCGATGTGTGGAATTATTGGCAATTTGCTGTCATTTATAATCCTGAAAACGTTTAAACGATTTGAATCTTCTACTTCTACTTATCTTGCTGGTAAGTACAATATTTTGTATGTTGCGGTTGAAGGGCCGGATTTTAACTTAGTCTGGAGCATTTAAATGCAGATGAGGTACCCTTTACCCCATAAAAAACTTAAAGCTGCTCTAAATGTTAGCAAACTGTATTTCGCAAAATTAGGAAATTAGGTCCTAATCTAAACAATATCTGCAAAACTTTATTGGGAAAAAATTGCGCTTTAATGTGATGTATATTATAATCCTTACAAGTGGTCAAAAATCGTAAAAATGCTTTCAGTAAATTTCGCGGCAATTTTACAATATATCTGTGCATTTTCGTTCGCATAATAACAAATATTGAAGTAATTGATCAAAGTTTTTCAGCATTTTCACTGCTTTTCTACTTTCCTTAGAAGTTAGTGATGCACATGAATTTAAAGGGCAACTCTTTTACTATAAAATTTTGAAAATAGCATTACAATTGGGGACATACTTTGGGAAATACGGGGTGTTTTTCATCGCGTGTTGTTGAAATTCTCAAAAAAAAATTAATGTTGAAGACCATTTTTGGGCTGTCCTAAGCACTACAGAGGACTAAACTGTATATCATATTAAAGGGCAACTCTTTTGCCATAAAATGCTACAGATAACATTATAATTGGGCCATTGGTTTGCAAGATACGGGGTGTTTTCCTTCGCATGTGTTTGAAATTCTCAAAACTGCAATTTCAGGGCTGTTCTAAGCTCTGCAGAGTATTGAAAAATATATTATATTAAAGGGCAGCTCTTTCACAAAAAATGCAATAAACATCAGTACAATTGGGCCCATGGTTTCCGAGATAAAGGGTATTTTTCATCGCAAGTTTTTGAAATGTTCAAGAAAATTCAATTTTAGGGTCTTTCTAAGCCCTACAGAAGATTGAAATATACCTCACATTAAAGGGCAGCCCTTTTCCATATAATACTTGAAACACCATTACAATTTGGCCCTTGGTTTCCGAGATACAGGGTGTTTTCCGTCGCATGTTTTTGAAATTCTCAAGAAAATGCAACTTTAGGGCTGTTCTAAGCCCTACAGAGGATTGAAATATATATCATATTAAAGGGCAGCTCTTTAGCCATAAAATGCAAAAAACATCATTACATTTGGGCCCTTGGTTTCCGAGATACAGGGTGGTTTTCATCGCAAGTTTTTGAAATTTTCAAGAAAGTTCAATTTTAGGGCTGTTCTAAGCCCTACAGAGGATTGAAATATATATCACATTAAAGGGCAGCCCTTTTGCCTTAAAATGTTAGAAACATCATTACAATTGGGCCCTTGGTTTCCGAGATACAGGGTGTTTTCCGTCGCATGTTTTTGAAATTCTCAAGAAAATGCAACTTTAGGGCTGTTCTAAGCCCTACAGAGGATTGAAATATATATCATATTAAAGGGCAGCTCTTTTGCTATAAGACGCGAAAAACCGCAAGACAATTGGGCCCTTGGTTTCCGAGATACAGGGTGTTTTCCGTCGCATGTTTTTGAAATTTTCAAGAAAATGCTATTTTAAGGATGTTTCAAGACTTACACAGAATTGAAATATATATCATATTAAAGGGCAACTCTTTCGCCATAAAATGCTGAAAACAGAATTGCAATTAGTCCCTTAGTTTGGGTGATATCTGTTGTTTTCGATCGCGTGCTATATTAATTATTCGACCAAAACTTTACTTACTTTACTTTACTGCTTTTCATCTTTCCTTAGAAGTTACTGATGCACATGAATTTAATGGACGACTCTTTTACAATAAAATTTTGAAAATAGCATTACAATTGGAGACATACTTTGGGAGTTACAGGGTGTTTGTTGAAATTCTAAAAAATTAATATTGAAGACCATTTAAGGGCTGTCCTAAGCCCTACAGAGGGCTAAACTGTATATCATATTAAAGGGCAACTCTTTCGACATAAAATGCTACAGATAACATTATAATTGGGCCATTGGTTTCCAAGATACAGGGTGTTTTCCGACGCATGTGTTTGAAATTCTCAAAACTGCAATTTCAGGGCTGTTCTAAGCTCTGCAGAGTATTGAAAAATATATTATATTAAAGGGCAGCTCTTTCACAAAAAATGCAATAAACATCAGTACAATTGGGCCCATGGTTTCCGAGATAAAGGGTATTTTTCATCGCAAGTTTTTGAAATGTTCAAGAAAATTCAATTTTAGGGTCTTTCTAAGCCCTACAGAGGATTGAAATATATATCACATTAAAGGGCAGCCCTTTTGCCATATAATACTTGAAACACCATTACAATTAGGCCCTTGGTTTCCGAGATACAGGGTGTTTTCCGTCGCATGAGTTTGAAATTCTCAAAAAATGCAATTTTAGGGCTTTTCTAAGCCCTACAGAGGATTAAAATATATATTATATTAAAGGGCAGCTCTTTCGCCATAAAATGCAAAAGACATCATTACAATTGGGCCCTCGATTTCCGAGATACAGGGTGTTTTTCATCGCATGTTTTTGAAATTCTCAAGAAAATGCAATTTTAGGGCTGTTCTAAGCCCTACAGAGGATTGAAATATATATCACATTAAAGGGCAGCCCTTTTGCCTTAAAATATTAGAAACATCATTACAATTGGGCCCTTGGTTACCGAGATACAGGGTGTTTTCCGTCGCATGTTTTTGAAATTTTCAAGAAATGCAATTTTAGGGCTGTTCTAAGCCCTACAGAGGATTGAAATATATATCATGGTAAGGGGCAGCTCTTTTGCCATAAAACGCTAAAACCGCATCACAATTGGGCCCTTGGTTACCGAGATACAGGGTGTTTTCCGTCGCATGTTTTTGAAATTTTCAAGAAAATGCTATTTTAAGGATGTTTCAAGACTTACACAGAATTGAAATATATATCATATTAAAGGGCAACTCTTTCGCCATAAAATGCTGAAAACAGAATTGCAATTAGTCCCTTAGTTTGGGTGATATCTGTTGTTTTCGATCGCGTGCTATATTAATTATTCGACCAAAACTGTTCAGTGATGGTTTCAAATCTCAGAGAAATTTCAGAAATCGTGCGAAGATCCCTCAAAATATTTCAGTCTCCTCGCACATTCTGCTATCCTAATATTCAAAATCAATTTCTCCGTTTATTTCGAGTCGAAAATGACTTAAATCCGTACACGCACACATGCACACGACTAAGGGCACCCACACATAACAAATGTGTGTGTGTGTGTGTGTGCGCGCAAATGGCTTCATTTTCGGATCGAAATGAAGCTGCAAATTGCTATTTTGTATTAGGAACCCAGAATGTGTAAGAAGGCTGAAATGTTTCGACGGATCTTCGCACGATTTCCGTGATTTTGCGGTGTTTTTAAAATATTTCAGAGCATTTTCGTTCACATAATAACAAATATTGAAGTAATTGAATAATGTTTAGCAGCACTTTTAGGGTCGTTCTAAGCCCTACAGAGGATTGAAATATATATCATATTAAAGGGCAGCTCTTTCGCCATAAAGTGCAAAAGACGTCGTTACAAGTAGGCCCTTGGTCTCCGAGATACAGGGTGTTTTTCATCGCATGTTTTTGAAATCATCAAGAAAATGCAACTTTAGGGCCGTTCTAAGCCCTACAGAGGATTGAAATATATATCACATTAAAGGGCAGCCCTTTTGCCATATAATACTAGAAACACCATTACAATTAGGCCCTTGGTTTCCGAGATACAGGGTGTTTTCCTTCGCATGTTTCTGTAATTTTCAAGGGAATGCAATTTTAGGGATTTTCTAAGTCCTACACAGGATAGAAATATATATCATATTAAAGGGCAACCTTTTGCTATAAAATGCTGAAGACAGAATTACAATTGGTCGCTTAGTTTGGGAGATATCTTTTGTTTTCGATCGCGTGTAATAGTAATTATTCGTCCGGTGATCGTGTCTAATCTCAGGGCAATTTCAGAAATCGTGCGAAGATTCCTCAAAATATTTCAGCCTCCTCGCACATTCTGCTATCCTAATATTCAAAATCAATTTCTCCGTTTATTTCGAGTCGAAAACGGCTCAAATCGGTACACACACACATGCACACGACTAGGGGGAGACACACATAACAAATGTGTGTGTGTGAGTGTGCGCAAATGGCTTCATTTTCGGCTCGAAATGAAACTGAAAATTGACTTTTGGTATTAGGATCCCAGAACGTGCGAGGAGGTAGAAATATTTCAACAGATCTTCGCACGATTTCAATAATTTCTCGGCGATTTTAAAATATTTCAGACCATTTTCGCTTTTAAATCCAACAAAAAAAAATCACAAAACAAAGAGTATTTTCTACTAAATGTTATAAAGTTTTGCAAGTATTAATCAACAATAAAGAAAAAACAAGTACTTTGTATATAATATTTATTGATATATTTAAAAACAAATACAAATATTAACAAATTTATTCATAAAAACTAGAACAACACTAAAATCATAAATACTGCGCCAGATCAACACGTTATCAAATATTTACTCCAAAAAGCACAATTTCCAACTACACTTTAGCGCTACAATACACACATATCATAAAATACTATCAGAACAGCAAACAAAAAATGACTCATGAAAATTTATAGTTCTAGCGCTGACGGATCTGGCCGCCTCCGCATTCCTCCTCGTTTCAGGGTTGTGTCGAGGTATCCTATGGTCCAAACCCGGGTGGCGTGAATACGAAGCGATCATTGCCATCCCCGTCGGCGGAATGTTCACTTGCTGGGCGTCCACTGCCATTGTCGGCGTCACCATCGGTAAATGTTAACTTAACTTCATGACAGCAAATGGGTTGACGGCCATTCTGCAATAAAACACACTTTTCAGTAATGGTCAACCAAAAAAACTCTAAAAACTTGAACATAAAACTTTAAACTTTATAAATATTTCTTACGTTTATGCTTTTTTTTTCGTTGTGGATATCAGATCGGATCGTGTATCTTTCCAGTCCAATGCGTGCAAAACGTCCAAATTGCTGCCAGCAGAAAACTGCAAGACTCGTGATGCTGGGCGGGTTGTTGATCTCCATTTTGTTCAACGTGCCATACTGCTTCATGTACACATGGGACTGTCAAGGAAACCTAGCTATGACACCATTTGTTAAAACCACGTAAGATAATTACTGAATTTACAAATTTTACAAAACATAACCTCACCTATTTTGACAGGTTTTATAGAATCCACAATTGGGTAAAACTATTCTTATTCTCCATCCTGCCGGCGTTGTTGCTCCTGTTGGGGAATATTTACCTCATCCGTCATCTGAAAAAAATGTACAAAATTACCGAGGAGTGTCGACAACGCTGTAAAATGTCATCAAAAACAAGAGTAAGTACACATCAAACAACGCCATCTTTAGAAAATAACATTCGCTTGTCTTATTTGCACATGAAATATATTCGGATACATTACCCACAAAAACCGAAGAGGTTTTTGCTCGGTAAACTGTAATAAATAACTATATACTACGGTTAGGTTCGACACGTTTTTTATCGCCATCTTTATGTGGGGTCAACATGGCCGCCGGGTCCAAGCCGCCACCTTTCGAACAAAAAACGTTCTTGCGATGGCGCGTGGAACATAAACATCGCAATAAAGCTAGTTGTCGTAGATAACAAGCTAAAATATTTAGAATGGTGGCGTTTAGCGTCGCCGCCATCGTGAAAAATATGAAAATGTCACAGCACGAACGCGATATATCATGCTAAACGTCCGCCGCTTTTTATCAGTCATGCAAACTTTGTGCCGACGTGAAAGTTACAACCGAAAAGAAGTTAATGAAGAAAATTAAAAATTTATCAACACTTTTTGTGAAAAAGATCTGTCACGTCCAAAAACTTACATTTTACGCACTAATAATATTTATATCTTACAGGATCAAAAATTGGTTACCATAACGCTGGTGTTGATGATTTTCTTCTTTTTAATCGGCGAGATTCCTGCAAGTTTGGTCTCGCGTTCATCCGTTGTGAGTCTTTTGTTCTGGGGCGATGAAACCAAAGCGGATAATTCGAAAGTTCTTGAGTTCTGCAGACAAATCGCTACTTTGATGAACGGTGTGTATTTGGCCGTGAATTTTTTCATCTACTACATGTTCTGCACTAATTTCCGGGCATGCTTTTGTGAGATTGTCGCCTGCGCAGCTTGTTGGCGTGGCCGAAAAGACAAAAAAGCGATTGTATGCGAGAAGGAGCAGCAATTGGCGCAAGTAAACATTTTTATCGTCGACGAGGAGTGCAAACAGTCATTTTGGGTGCCGTTGGCGGACTTTAACTGGCGACTTATTAAACTTTTCGAGGATAATAAACTTGCTGCAAGTATCATTCATACAGCTAAGATTTAAGAGTTAAAATAAGTAAAAACTTTAGAAAAGCAAAAATAATGAATTAAAGTAGTAAAAATTGTTTTTATTCATAAAAATGACTTAATAATGCATGTAAAATGTAATTTAAATTATTTTGCTTCTATTTGTTAATAATTTTAGAGTTTAGTAACAATTTAAAGTCAAAAAATGCGATTTTTATCAATTTAATCACAAAAACTTTTATTTCTTCAAAAAATGATGTAAAAAGTTGATTTCCTTCTGATTTGCTTATATGAATTGTTTCCATACATGTTTATTACATTTTTTATTTGATTTCCACCGAATTACAAGTTTCAATTTGCATTTTATTCTGTTTGACATCATATTGCAAACAAAACAAACCCCTCAGCAGCAGGCTAGTCGACTCTGATCCGATTTTGTGCATCAAAAGACGAGTTTATTGCATTCTGTTCGTCGCAGAATTGTTCCTCAAGAGCGTTTTTATTCGTCACCGCCTCGACCGCCGCTCCAACTTGAATTATAAATGTAAGCTTGGGTTTTAAGAAATTGCCTGCTGCAATATTAAAATGGGCGCGCGCGGAAAAAGGCGCGGCGACAAATTTTATTCATTTCAAGCGCGTCGCGTAATTTATTGAAATGCAGCCGACAAGAATCTATAAATCTTGTCAAACGGTTAAATATTATCCAGCGACATGCCAGCAGCGACTAACCGTTCTGCCGCCGTCGGTTTCGGCAGGCTTAATAGTAAATTTATTATTACGGCTTAATTCGTAAGTACTCTCGTGCGTATACGCAGCAGTACTAAACATGTCGGGTTGAAGAGGGTTCTTTCAAGGAGAACCACTAGCACAGCAAGCCCAACAGACGTTGATATGGAACTTTAAAGCGTGAATCCAGCGATCAAATTTGCTGTGTGTTACTCCGAGGCTGTGTGGAGGCGCCGGGCGTTGAGTAAATAAATAATAGAAACGTTTGAAATATAAGCCTGAAACAATGCAGCCCCGGGCACGAAACCAACGCCTATTTATACTTTTCACAGCTATATTTAACCACGCGCGCAAATTTATAAATAAGCCCTGTATTAATTATTTACAGCACACGAATGTGGAAAGCGTTTTGTTCGATTCACGCCGTTCAAATCATACATCAGTTGTTAAATCACTTAAGTACACGACTCGCTTGGTATTTATGTAGGCTGTAGGATGTAGTCGGATATTCCGGGGGATAATCTCGAGAAATAACCGCGTGGTTTGTTTTCTGTGCGCGATTCTCGTGCGACTGCGCTGGAGCACGTGCACGCGCGGTATTCCGCATCCTACAGGTTGTAAATCGCGCGCCGCCGCCTTCGGCCGCCGCCTACCGCCGCTGCTGAAGTTTGCGAGCGCATTTAAGCGCTCATCTCGGTCGGACGCGGACGGGCAGCAGCAGCAGCCGGGATAAATCGCGTGTGGCATTAAGTTACGATCGACTGGGCGCGCGAGAGTTGTGAGAGTTGTGTGCGAGTTGTGGGACGTGGAACGCGCTGGAATTATTCACGCTGGCGGAAAGTACGAGGACGGCGGGATTCTGAATGTTTTTCGAAACTTTTAAAGCGGCAAACTTAAAAACTAAGCGAACAAATAGACAGCGGAACTTTGCGCAGTTGAAACAGTTTGAAATTGACGAGACATCTGTGACGTAAACTGTGTGCACTTTAACACGTGGAGGGTTTCAAGCAATTAGAAATTATTTTTCAGCTCATTTGGAAAGCGAAATATTCATGCAAGGTTTGTATAAATATTTAATTATTTTCTAGAATTAGATAATCAAAAAGTAAAAAAATAAACGATTTATTTTTTGCCAAAATTTTTGTTTGTAAATTTTTTTTAAATAAAATTTTTGTTTAATTAGATGTATAATTTTATGCAGTATTAATTTCTGAAGAAATAATTGTAATAAGTCAAGTAGTTTTTGAGTAATTAACAAAACGTCATAAATCCATGGTGATTATTTTTTAATCATAAAAAATTAAACTCATCTTCGCGTTTTTTTAATTTTCTGTATTTTTATGTGATAGTTGCGTGTTTCGTAATGTTAGCATACCTTAACAAGAATTTATAGAACACAGTTATTGTGCGAAATCGTTAAAACTGTCATCACGGAAATTATTTATCGACGAAACTAGGTTGCGCCCAGCGCGGTTTCGGACAATAAAAAAGAAACGGCCGAAAGGAGAATATCGAATTTTTATGCGAAAACTTTTTCAATTTGATGGCCACACCACCACTACGTGCACCGCGCTCTCAAAACGATGAGAAGCGACAAAAACGCGATGAATAATTGCCAACTTTATTCCCTCTCAACGTACACCCAACTAAAAATCGCGTTCGAATTTATATTTACGCCCCGCTCGGTTTAATTAAAAAATAAAATTTGCATAAAACAATTTACGGCCGTGTGAAGCATAAACTCCACCGATATGACATCGATCAAACACAACGCACACCAAACTAAATTCAATTGCTGCATTAACATGCACAAAAAACGAATTGCGGAGAGCGTATATATTTTTTATCAGTTAACAGAGTGCAAGTGACTTTATTCATGTTTATTCGAGCGAAGAGGACGCGCTGTGCTGCAGTCGATTCGCGATGATTTATGCAGATGTAAACATTGCATCATATTTATGTCGAGTGCGCGAAATGCATAAATAATAATCTGCTAGGCGCGGAGGCGGCGGCTATGAAATATTCATTGTTTTCTATATCGTCGCGGGTGAGCGCACGATGCTGCAGCGATGGACGCCGGAAGTGGAGCAATTTATATGCGGAGGGCCTTAAAGACGATTAAGAGCCCGGCCGGCGCACACACCCCATGGCCAACAACGAACAAGTGTAAACAAAGAAACTGCGAAACTATATACACACGAAACTAGGAGGCAAAGTTGCCGCACGCGCTCGCCAAAGTTTGATTTGTGGCGCGTTATCTTCGCGCTCAATGATTATACCAATAGAAAGTTGGTGGAAACTTTTGATGTGTTTTGAACGATGCGAAGGTGATGACGATGAAAGATGTGAACATTAATAATGCTCTTAATCACAAAACCAACATAATACACAACTTTTGTTGGCAGAAGAAGCTATAAAATTATCATCATCAAATGAGTTTACTTTTGCTCCAAAACAATAACGTATTGACGAAAAAAAGCAAAAAAATGTTTTTAGAAAAAAAAAGCTTTTTTCAATTAATTGGAAACTCTATAATTAAATATTTGATAAAAATATAGTGATTATGAATGTTACAAAAGAATTATCATCAAATAACATTAAATTTTGCCCAAAAAATGGCGTGGTGAGCAAAAATATTAAAAATTTCGCAAAATAAACCCATTTTAAATACTTCCAAATCTAAATAATTAAATATTTTACAAAAATCACACATATTAAATGCTTTAGAAGTTTTGCAAAAATATTTATCATCAAATTAAACTTAAATTCACACAAAAACAAAAAAAATCAATTTTTCTGAAAATAACTCAGTTTTTCGATAATTTTCCCCCAAAATGATTCCCGCACATCACAAATTTGACAAACATATTACTGTAATATGTCTTGTGCTAGTTTCCAATTACTTTCTCATCATACCACAACAATAATGAGATCTTCCAGCTACGAGTGCGTCTAATATATGCACGTAATATGCGCATGTACTCGTAATGTAGTTTTAATCCAACTGTCGAAATGCAACAGCATTTTAATTAAACGTCAAATCAATACCGCCGATGCAATGATGACTTGCCGATGCGCGCCTCGCCGCATAATCTAGTAATGTGCAAGTTGATTCTATAGTTAATTACGCGTCCACCGCGCGGATTGATTTTACGAAAATTGCCAATATGTATGGATATTTATGCATACAGCCTGATTCGCCGCAAAATCCGGCATTGCGAAAGGAAATCGTTCGCCACGTTTCGATTTTCTACACTGTGGTTAGGTCAGGACAGTTGGAAAATCTTTAGATATAGAGTTGAGTTCACTGAAGTAGCATAGAAAACAAAACACAGAAAAAAATCGAAACTAAAGCATCAGCGACAAAAAAGTTCTTTTCTTTTTAGTTGCGAGTCAAGTGTGGGGCTGAAGTACGGGAGAGTATGATACACTTATCCTCTGTCTATCGATGGAATCGCAAGTCTATATAAGCAATATGCACGCAGCATGCATAAAGCAGGAGGGCTTGGAGTTTGCTATCAAACTCTGCGAGAAAGTGCGGAAAGTTTTGCGCGAACAGAGAAAAGTAAGATGGGTTTTAAGTGGTGTTCGAAATTTCATAGTCAATGCAATATGCAAAGGCAGAACGGTGAGGTAACAAAGGATTTCTTGAGGTAGCCTTTAAGGAATAACCACAAATTCAGCGTTTTATTGCGAGTGCTTTTCGAAAACATTCACAAAACGATAAAATGCAATAAAAGTTTTGCACAATGCAAGAATTGCCAATTTGTATGAGTAGTGTTTTTGAAAAACTGTCATCTTATGCTCGGAATATGATATTTTTAGAGACATCGTTGTTTTGATGGTAAAAAATTATATTTTTGTTGATAACTTTTAATGTTTCAATCAAAAACTTTAAACATTCAGAAAAATGGAAAAATTTTACGTTTATTAAACGTAATTCGATCAAATTTGTTAAAATTTAGAATTTTAGGTTATTTTTATTTAGGTTATGTTACAAAAAACTATTATGCCTATTTAAAAGAGCAAATTTTACCGGATTTCAAAATAATTATAAAATTTACCGAAAAATCCTCTCGTATTCTTTAATTTAGTATGATTTGATGGATGATGGATAGAAATCAAGAATTGATGACTCCCGTGAATCTAAAAATAAAGCATGTAATTGCACAACACCAACTCCACCGAAAAAACTCGCATCATCACAAAAAAAACTAGTTTTAGATCGATATTTAGAGCTAGTTTGAAAGTGGAGTATGAGTTGATCCCACGCTCGCGATATACCACCCCCATCCCTGTTCCCATCCCCCCACACGCGGCGTGCTCTATCGCGACCCAAAACAACCACATCTCGCCCAAACTGGATGCAATTCGATTCAACCCAGTTTGGGCACAGCACACTCCAGCCGCCCAATTGCGTCATACTGATCGAAAATTGATCGGAACTAAATGCCCTTTTGGATAATTGTATTTGTACGCGAATTTCGGACATCGACACATAATCTCACCCTCCCCAGCAGTGGTGGCCATTTAAAGCACTTCCAGGAGTTGCACGAGGTGCTAAAAGGTCAGAGTCCACATTCGTGGAAATCGAGAGGTCGAGTAATGAGATTTGCCGAATTCGTAGCAACTTCCTCAGCGCGCTCGTTTGGATTTATAACCAAATTGGCGTCTAGTAATTATTATCGCCAGGGGTAGCAAAGGTCGAGTGGGTCGCGCGCGCTGAAATTAACAAATCGTTTAATATCGAAACACGCGATTGCAGACTTCCAGGCGCTACTCCGCATCTCCGCAAAACGAGGATCATGGGATAAGTACAGCGTTAAGATTTGCGCGTTTGCTAATTTCCGGATTTGCACGGATTACATGCGGAATTAACCCTCGGAATAAACATTACGTAACCTCAATATCTCAGATTAAATTTAGAGAATAAAAGTGTGATAGAATAATGCACGTCCGGAAGAATTTACGCGCTTGTCAAATGTCTAAAAAACGCGAATTCCGAGAATATGCAATTGAAGAGATTTCCGGAATGAGATGCAACTGTTTCCCGTGCGCCCTTTGTCCCCAATCGTCCCCTATCAGTCGCACAACCCGCGCGCACGTGAAGACAATGTTTGCCGAGCACAATGAACAATCCGGCGAAGTACTTTTCATTCGTTTCGATTCGCTGGTCGAGTTGCAAATACCAATTCCTGGCAAATAGAGCATTGAAGATAAATTAACGTTGCAATTTTCACAACTGCGTAATTAACCAGGCAGAATAAGTGAATAAAATGGAATGTTTTGTTTGCTATACCACATGGTGTTATATTGTGCTGTATGCTTGGTTGCCTATCCGTGATGAGCAAATGGCTATATTTACGCTACCCATTCTCGTTTTTTTTTTTCACGTTTCAAAGCGTTTTATTGTATTACTCGCAAATCACTTTGCGCGTGTGTTGATGTTGATGATGTGCTTGCTCATCGTTAGGTAATAATTCTCTTTGCATGTCCATGATGTCTGGGGGGTTGCATTCTTTTGCACGCTCGGAGTTTGTTCGCGCGTAGCTTAATTATCAAGGCATTTATTTGCGCAAAACGTCGCGCCGTCGCAAACAAAAACACCCAGCACCCGGCAAAAACTCCTCTCTGCTCGTTCAAAGCGTGAGATTAATTAATTAAACTGCAATTTGTATAAACGTGGTGGCAGGCGTGTATATACAATACTAATTAGTCGAAAGCATTTTTTTTAGTTGGCTACTAGTTGCGTGCAGCCGAACAAATATTTGTTTTAAAAAAGTTAATTGCAGCAATGAGAACAAAAAAATCTTTCACGACGTGATATTTTGTTACTAGTTGGTAGGTGAGTAATCTGATGCGAAATTAGTTTTGTTCAAAATCGTAACGTAATATTTAGGTAAAAATAAAGGCTGGAAATGTAACGCTACCGGTCTATTTTTAACTTTTTGTCTGTTTCAAAATGATGTAATCCAAGAAGATGGAACCACTAAGCATGCTAATCTCATGCGGAGTAGAAAAGTAGAAAATTCGCAAAACGAATAAATCTTGATGTTTTATGTTCGCGAAATCGGAGACATAAACGAATTTAATCAAAACATACAAATTATTACTTTTAAATTATATTTCTAGACATTATAAATGTATTTATATATATTTTTCTATCAGTTTAAGTCAAGTTATTATGCGCATAAATTTGAATGCCCGGCGCCTCCACTTTATGATAAATTGCAAGAAGAAAAAACGATAAAAATCTAAAATTAAAAATCCATTTAGTTAAATATTCTTAATTTTACCTCACTAAGTGCTCCCATTCTTTATAATGACAGTCCTGTTTAAGATTTATTTAAAGCAAAAATATTGGCAAATTTGAAGCAAGTCAAAGTTCAGAAATGGAAATGTGCCAGCTCGCACGTGGCTGCCGAAGAATCTAGAGTGCATAATAGACGTTTCAGCGCAAAACCTATTAGAGCAGCTTCGAATGTCACAACAATGAATGCAATTTCGTCGCCGAATACGACCGGAAGCCAACAGGCAATAGCGCAAGGCGCTCCTGCTCCTGTGCACTTAACGCGCTCATCGTTTTTTTTTTCTTTGCTTGAAGAGGCTTTTTCGGGCGTACTTGGGGTAACATTAAGCCCAGTAGCTATTTTATTACGTCGGTAAGGATCTAAGGACTATATAAATGTCATAGACATGCAAGCAAAAATTTAATTATATTATTAAATAGAAAAAAATTAAATTTTTGTTATTTTTGTGTGAAAAGTTAATATTTTTCGTATTTTATGTCCAAAATGCATTAGACTAAGTGATAACAATTAAATATCTATGGTTTAAATAAGAATTAAGTGTAAATTTTAAAAGTTCTGTGGAAGTTTAGCAGAAATAATGTAAACTAGGTCGAAAAATGTAAGCGAAGCGCAAACAAGACGACCCCAAAAACTCAAAATCTGCCAAAATGAGCATAAACGATAAATGCGGCAAAAAGTCGACGGCTTGCGCAAATAAAAATCCTCCCGTCGGCACAAAAGCAAATGCACTCATTCGTGCGAGTAGCTTTTAATATTCGCTTGCATGGCCCGCTGAAAAGTGAAATAAGCTCGCGTCGCGCTTTAAACTCTTTGCGCGCACATAACAGACTCAACTCTCGCTGTGCGATGGACGCGGATTTCTGCACGCGTAGGCATTTCCACTCGTTTTTATACAGCGCACATGACATGAACCACGCCGTTCATCTGTGTTTCAAAATCGTTACGCGTCTTAAACAAACTAAACTTTCGGCCGAAACTCGACCAGATTTTCGGCGGGCGCTCGTAAAACTTATAACGTACTGTGTTGGGGCAGGTAGATTTTGATCAAGACTTTAATCTAACAATAGCTGGCTATAAAACGATAACGCATGCAAACTCCGGAATAACGCTTTTGCCACGAGGCAAAGAAGACTCTTGATGTTGGAGGTACTTGTATGTTCAGCCAGCGTATGCACTATTAACTGGTGTGCTGCTAAAAGCTACGCTAAACAATGGGCGAATTCGTTTTTAAATATTCATATTACTCGCACCCTCGAGCGCCAAAGAAATGCTAAACTGATGTTACGTTCTGTTCGCTTATAAAAACTTTATCTACGTGAAAAAAGAGTTGTAAAACTATGTTTTCTACTCTAGAGCAGGAAAAATAAATGAAAATCTTATTTGCTATTATTGTTTAACTCAAAAAAGAGTAAAAATTAAATTTCAAAACGATAAAAATCAAAATATTCTTCAAATTCGTGATAAAAACAACTTTCTCATTGGAAAACATTGTTTTTTTAACATCATAGTGTGGAAAACAGCTTAAAACGCTTTAATTTTGTATAAAAAGTTGCCTATAGCTCGACAACATAACCTCAAAATTTTATACAAAAATATGAAAATTACGCGCAGACAAATGTAATGCATTGTTTTCCACTCTCCTAGTATGTAATATATTATTTCAACTCTTGTTACACAATATTCAATTTCAACCCATACGAAAAACACAAATAAACTGAATAAAAATGATGCGTTATGATAAATGACAGCCTCCGCATCCTTATTCTTATTATTATTTGAGATAACACCGGAAATGCAAGGAAACAATTCAATTTTTCACTCTAACAACCCGTTACGCCATGAAAGACAATCCATCTTAGTGAAATATGATTAGTATTGTCATCTGATGAGACCGTCAAAAACTAAACCCAATTTGAAAATAAAACCGAATCACTGTTCGCTGCTACAAACCCGTCGGTTAACTCTTTTAATTCACTTATCCAACAACGTTTGCTTTCCTTCTTTTGAAAACTTGATGCTTTGCTTTGCCGAAAATGCTACATGACGTTTCTATCTTTTATACTATGTGCTCGTATCGCTTACCTTTATCGCTTTTCATCTTCGAAGCAGGCGGGCGGTTCTTTTCACTGCTCCAGTGCTCTTGTAGAAAGTGGTGGTGGTGTCGCCTCGGGAGTTGAGCTCCGGCTAGTAGTCGAAATTGAATTCCATCTACAAATTTCTCGATTTCACTGTTTCAAAGTGTGCCAAACCTGCGTCGTGCGGATATTCCCCGAGTGAGTTTTTTTTCTTCCTCCAGCATGTGTACATGAAGCAAAAAAATAAAAGAAATAAAAAGGGTTCGAAACGTCAATGTGGGTGATCTATAGCTAAAATGGTTTGATTCCCAACTCACGTCGCTAGTTTATAATTTTCGATTTATTAATTATTGGCACAAACATTGGTCACAATCGAGTTTATAGGATCAAATATTTATGTACAACTTATGCTAATATCACCGTGCACCGTGATTTTTTCGTTTTAGTTATTTTTGCTGTGAGAGTTTCGGAATTATTAAAAAAGTGCACCATATATAAAGGGTTTCATCTTCTTGACAACCACGTCCAACATTGAACACTCAATTATTCTTTCTGCATATTCATTGATGGGGAGATGCTTTCGTATGCAAATCGATTCGATTTGCATCCAATGCCCAACCAAGCATGTAGGACATTACAGGACAGGTGAAGGTGTAAACATTCATAGATTCTATACTCTACACATTTACGGCTGGTCAAAGGCACATGCCTGGATTCTGACTGCACCATTGCGGCCAAAGCGCTTCGTTCTTCAACCCACGCTTGATCATCCGCTCACGCTGCATTTGAATACGCGCATAGACATCCTCGATGCTCAACTGCTCCTGTTTGTAGATGGACTTGGTGCCCACATCAGACCAGACACGTTCGGCGAATGCAGCCGCACGTGGCCACAACCGTGTGTCCAGTGACACGTGATCAGCTTGTTCGGTCCACAGGCACGCCTCTGCGCCCAAAACACTTTTTCGATACACAGGATCACCATTCCACGGCCGATGCATGTAAACAGTCTGCCAGGGTCTGTAGGGATCACAAGCAGCTCCACCATTTTCCCTCCAACGTCCATAACCACAATCTAAGTACCATGCGTCCACATGTGATATAATGACATTGTATCCACTCGATACCAACTCGGGTGTTTCTGTCCAGTCACTCCCACCCCACGCCTGTATCAATACCTCGGTTTTATTCAAAAACTTCGTCAAGTAGGGTCGTTTCGTCAAGTTACTGGACCAGATCATCACGTGCTTGGGACGCTTACCACCGTTGGCTTTCGTCACACGCTTCAGTGCCTCCACGGTGAAATTCCCCCACACATCAAATAGGTCCACGTAGGGATTGGTGCGATTGCGGAACTGTTGCCAGCACTCGAGATTCACCTCATCGCCACCGATGTGAAAGATCTCCGACTCGCCGGTAAGCTCGATGATGTCGCGGTAGATCTTCTCAAGCACGTCATAGACGTGCGGATTATCCGGATTGATTTGCCCGCATGGCGGCTCGCCGCAATATAAGCTCCAGGGTTGTACATTAACGCACATCACAAGTTCGCCAAGACCCTCGGCGGGTCCCCAAGTCCAGCCGTTGCCCACATGTGCGGGGACGTCCACTTCGATCACCACACGAATGCCTCTTAACCGCGCGTACTCCACCAAATCCTTCACCTCACTTGCAGTATAGACCATATCCGGGGAGTATGAACCGTATTTCGCCAACTGTGGGACACTAGGCAGCACGAGTGGAAAACTCTGTGAATCGGAGACGTGCCAATGGAATACATTCAATTTATTCGCGGCCATTCCCACTAAAACACGCTTGAGACTCTCCACAGGAAGAAAATTCCGTGCTGTGTCTATCATTAAACCACGATAAGCAAATTTTGGCGCGTCCTGGACACTTGCACCTTTTACAATTTTCAAAGATCCTGCCCCGGAAGCGAATTCATCCCACCAAATCAATTGAGATAATGTTTCAAGTCCATGACGTGCCCCGAAGAAATTATTCGCAGTCACAGTCCCAATCATATTCTCACCTTCCATACGCAGGATCAATTTATAACTCTCATCGGTGCTTAGTGTTAATTTTACGATATCACTGTGTTCAACAAACACTTTCACTATAAACTTATTAAAATCTCGCTGGGGAGTTGCAGAAGGTTCATTCTTTTGCAACTGAATCAGATTGGCAACATTAGAGTTGAACATGGCGAAGGAATATTGAATGTACGAACGCGCTGGTTCAGTCGCAGTGGTTTCGAACGTGAGCTGTTCACGATCGAAGCTCACAGAATGGCTGCCGAGCGTGGTGGGTCCAGTTGGTTGCGGCCATAACATAGATGACCCGCACAGCATGCTGCACGTGGTCAATGAGACGTGCACGCCGGTTTCAGTTGATTCTTTTCGAACGCAGCGCTTGTTTTCGCACGTCCACGTCCATCTAAAGTCAATTTTACTGTAAAAACAAGAGAATAATACACGTTAAGATAACTTGCGCATAAAACGCCAGCACAATTCCTTAATTAATTATCTAGCGCATTCATAAACACAAAAGAGACTTTTTCAAACAAACCTCAGGCAACAACAGCTTGGTATTTCTGGAGAAATCATAGCGGTAGCTTTAAGCACAGCGCGCTAATGTAATTAAATCGTTTCTAATTTAAGAAGTACATTAACGCTCGAGCCCAATTGTTCTTCCACGTAAACGCAGATAAATAGCCTGCGTCTCGGATAAATACCCGTACCTTTCGCCGGGAGATGAAATGCAGCACATTGCGCTGCTAGAAAACCAGAAAGCAGCACACGAATGGATAACGAATTTCCACGCTGGCTGCCGGGAATGATTAACTCGCAGCGGACGCTAGATTGCCGTTTAAAAAGCGCGCGCTCGCGTACTTAACGAGTTTTAAGCAGAAATTATAAGCTCGACATAATAATTATGTAAAACGCTTTATGCCCCTCGAAGGCAAAGCGAAGAAAGAGCGATTACAAAGCACATTATTCGCGGGTGTGCACTTTTTTCCTTCTTGTGTAGCGAGGAGACTTTGAAGCGCTTTTCATATTACACAAAAAAGTCATTACAAAGATCCTCGAAAGTCGTCGCGGAGAGCGGTCAGGACGAGTGGAAGTTGTAATTGCTAATGCAGACAACGTACACGCGACAATTTATACGAGTATGCCGCCGACCGCTGTGCGTCGAAGTGGAAAAAGGCACCGTTTTTGGTAAATTAGTTCGCGCCCAGCGATTTCTTTCGGATCTGCCTGATGAGACCCAACGTGGAAAGAGCATGCTTTATATATTATAATGGAATAAGAGGAGCAATGAACCTGAAGTGCGTTGATTGATGAAGATCGATGGAGTTTTTGCGTCGGAACGGATTGAATCGAATCTACGTACTCACGCCGAGTATAATACAAATTCCATTAAAATCATCCCCGAATGGAAGAAAAAGAGTTTGCCCACAAACAAACAAATAAACCTGGACGTGCCTACATAATGCATGCAATCAAATTAAACTCAACGCACATACACACACACTGGAGAGACGAGAATTGTTTGCGTAACAAAACCACCGAAGCAACTATCTGAGAACATGCAAGTTTAAAACGCAAGTGGACCCGGTTGAATTTTAATCCGTAGCGGAATGAAGTTGCACGTTCAAAGCGAGCTCTAAAGTGCACTACAATATGCAGCGCAGGGCAGTACTAGCGTAAATGTTTTAGCGTTGCATTTTGCATCCTCGCCGGACTAGAAAATAGAAAAACAGCCACACGGATTATTCATGTGTAACAAACATGTTGAAATGACAGCAACAGAATAGCACCATGTCGCGTTATCAACAACAACAAAGGATTGTTGCACATTGAGCAACATAATTGATCGCTTTCGATGGCGATTATGTTTGCGATTAAATTTGTTAATTAGCATGCGCTGTGCGCTCGAATGGTTATTATCTAACCATAATCATGATCGCCAGTGTTAAATTATAGCCTAGATTATACAACATAACCTTATTTTCAAAAAGGTGATAAAATTATGAAAAGTTAGGTTATGTTATTAGTTGAGGCTGGATGATTACGCCGAATTAAACCCGACATCCCGTCTTTGTTCGCTCGTTTAATGGCAACTACACGCGACACATGCTAATGAGCGGAACATGCGAACCTATTCGGAAGGTACAGCGACTCCGAAAGGTTTCTCCATGAAGGAGAATAGAAGTCGTCACACACGTGGCCAATACAGACGCCTGCGCGTGTAATAATCTCGAAATCAGAGCATCAGAGCAAGTTAGTAACAGCCTCCCATGTCAAACTATAATTCCATGCCAAACATTGATATGACATTAACTTTTGCGCACCAAAACCGCCGCTACTACCACAATCACGCAAAGGTTCTCATTCTGGTTCTATTAACGCGTCGATTTACATGAGTGCAAGAATATGTCAATGCTGTAGTAGTGTGCGTTGATGCTTGCCGCCTCCGTTACTCTGTTACTAATAATGCAGCGGAACGACGTTAGTTCAGCTGAAATAGAACGCGCCGAATATGAATGGAAGCGTTTGGCGGTTGTGGCAGAGGAAAGCAGAACGGGATGATCGTCATCGGCGGCGGTGGCGGTGGAGGCGGCTGCGTATGTGGGGCGAGAGATGACGCGTTCGCATATTGTATTTGGCACGTGACCGCATTCAGCCAGCCGAAGCCACACTGGTGTTCGCACCGATTCACATTCACACATTCCAGCGCCGCGTGCGTTGGGTTGCCGCGTTGCGATTTGAGTGTATTAACTTTCCGCCCGGAAATCTTCACATATTCTCACCCATTCACTCCGCAGATCGTAATCATACCACAGCGCACATACTCACATTTCTCGCCGGTATATACTCTCGAAACAACATTAGTAAATTAAAATCAAACATGCACCTGTTTCACTGTTTCAATACACATTACATACAACGCCATCTGTTGTACAAAAGTGCAATATATGTAAAATTTAGGTTATGTAGATGTTTTTTGTGGTTTTTAATAACCGCGAAACGTTTTGAGGATAGATTAAAACATATTGCGACATTTTGGGTTTGCGTATGTTATTAAAACACATCCGTTGAAGCTTTCCGCGTTTAGATTGCACATGCACTGCACAAGTTTACCAAACTAAGAAAATTACGATTGCAATCAGTGAAGTATTGATTTTCGACAAAATTATACCAAATTAACTAAATCAGGACTTTAACACGTTGAGGACGGCGTGTACCACCGGTGGTACACACACGTCTGGTCTGTGGGACGGCGTGTACCACCGGTGGTACACGGCTCATTTGAAACGAGACTAATTCATTTTTGACTACGCCACTGGTTAGGTTATATCTTTTCCTCGTTTCACCTATACAATCAGGGCCTTGCATCTTTGTCATCAAATGTGTCACTCAGATTACATATTATAATAAATAGTGACCGACCAAAGTTTCAGTCTTGGCTTCAAATTTGGTTTCGGCCAAAAATTGGCTGAAACTTTTGGCAGAACCGAAACTCAGTGTTCGTGAATTATCGTGCGTTGTTCGGCTAACTCGCGGCTAAGTCGTGGTCGTCACTTGCCATCTCAGTTCGCACATAGTTTCGGTCGGACTCTAAAGATAAAGGCATTCATTACAAAGAAAATAAATAAATGGCGACGCAACTGCAAAGACAATCGCTTTTTGATACAGCAATGCATAACCACCAGTGGCGCACAGCTGAATTAATTAGACGGAGTTGAAAATGCTCAAACGCCGCCCGATGCGACAGACACCCAAAAACCGCGCCGTCCTCAACGTGTTAATGAAATAAATTTATCAAGTAACGACATCTAGTGATGAAAAAATTTAACCGGTGTTATCCTAGCATCTTGCCTCCAAATAGAGTCCTAAAACAACTATGGAGATGTGACATCGTCAGCCAAACGAAGGTTGACTGCGAAATTACTAATTCAGAATTCACAATCCCCGCATTGCACGTGTCTGAAGACATGCTGGAAATTGTTTGCTCTTTTCTCGCCGCGTAGCGCAGCAAAAACTTAATCCAATTACGCTAAATATTGCGTTCTGTGTCGCACGTCTTCATGTTTCCATGTCGTATGACACACAAACCTAATGGAATTGCAACAATGACAATGCAAACACAACATTGTGCAATAGAAATTGCAGTAAACTACAAATTTCAAACAATTTGATAAATCTAAACCTATGTGGAGTATTTTAATAGACGTCCAAATCGAGGAGTTAAATTGGATCGCAAAAGGCACAAAGCGGGACGCGTCCCAACGGGGTCAAAGGTTGAATTGTCAGAATAACACACCGGCGCGGCCAAAACTAACAACTATTAGGCATTAGCCAGAAAACCTTCAAACTAGCAAGCAAACAAAAATACACGTCTAGCCAGGTCAGAAATACCACTTCAATCTCGAATCCAAATGGTGGAGGCGCCGCCAGCCACAAAACATTCAACTAACTTCGGAATTAAACTTACGCGTAATGTGTGTTTGAGTCTTTAGATGTCACAACTGGAACAAACGTCTGTAGCGGTACGCTAGTGGGTGATGTAGGCTGGGCCCAAAACATATACAGCAGGAATACGCAGCCGATCATCATGATGATCGCGAGGAAGCGGCGCAAGTCGCCCGGAGCGCCCATTCTACGCCTGAACTGCAAAAAAAGAAAGAAAACATTAGTTTCTATCAAAACCCTCCAAGGCACGCCGAAACCACAAGTTTAAAAACTTTGCGAAGTCAATCAAGTGGAAAAAACTTGATTAACGCAATTAGTCAATGTGTTAGTTGGTGTAATTAATTAGTTCCGAAGTTTGCGCACGGCGAGGAAAATAATTCAACCTGATGGTATTTATTAAGTGACATCAAAGTGCATGGAAACAGTGTTTCAAAGTTGAAAAGTGCTGATTACAATTCAATACTTGAGAATATTGAGTGAACGTGTTTCTATGTGAGGTGGTATTTGTTGTAAAACGTGATTAATTGTAGACGCGATAATAAATCGCTTCTGCGCTCATTCGTGACGCGTGTGCCAAAGCTTTTGACGCGTTTTAACATCATAATCGGCAAGACACGCTCGCGAAATCATTAATCTCGCATCCACTACTCGCGACGCGAATAAGATTCCCGACTCTACTCGTACCAGGAGCGTGTTAAACGTTTCGATTTATAATGCACACTATCAACGTAAAATTTTCAATTTTCCAAACGCCAGCGACGATTTAATTTGTAATTACCCGAGCGACGCGCTGGGCACTCACATTTTCAACCATTTCCATCCATGTAGCAAAAATATTTATTTTTTTAAATTGTGAGTGACATTTTTATAAAAACAATAATTACATACATGTGTCATTGATTTAATTTCCATGGATATTTTTAGACTTTGTTTGCTTTGTGTTCGAGCAATTAATTTCTCGAATTACCGCTGATTTTTATTATGCAGATGCTTTTGTGGAGGCGCCGGGCCGTCAGCGAAGCAAACACTTTAAAATTTCCGTTCGATTTACTCGCGATGCGCACGTACAAAAGTGGAAAGCTGTTTAAATCTCATGAATATTTCCTTTCCTCACTTTTGCGTTTTTTTCTGCTTCAACAATGCAATCGCAGTACGTGTAAATATTTGCGATTAAAATCACAATAAAATTTTTTTACATGAAACAAATTTTTCTAAATCTTAACCCCAGCGATATCAATCTAAAAATATGAAAGCAAAAAGGTGAAATAAAAATGTGTTCTAAAAATACTGACATATTGACAGCTCAAAATGATACAAAGCACCATCTGCTAACATAAAATATCAGATTTTCACTCCGGACGTACACATCGACATTTTTTTCATTTGATTATTGACGAAGTGCCTTTTTGTAGATTTGCACTCGCGGCGCGTAGCGAATAAAACAAGTTGACTCCAACTCAATGTTGTTTCGCGTAATAATTTATGTGCAGCTTTTTTGACTTGCCTGATATATATCGAACTCGGCCCGATCACGTTTTCCCTTCGCTTCTTTTTCGCCAAGTCCCCGAACGCAGGATTAAAAAATGCGAATCCGACAAAAATAAACCAAAGAACAAAGAGAAGAACGAAAAAAATAGGTTACACAATTTGTAGTTGTAGTAGTGGAAGAAAAATTCCGATCGGACCGAGCGCAAATTCACTGGAAACACGAATAACGCACATCAGCTAACAATCTCCTCGTTTTTCACCCTTGTTAGCCCGGAAATAAAATTATATCACTGACGTTGGATAAATTATTACAAGAATGGAATTTGCGTGCGTCGAGAATTACGTTTATGACGCGTTATTAATAGTTAATAGCCACGGCATTCCTCGACTATCACCGTAATTGATTATTCATTGGTTATTGCGAGAATGTTTAGCACCGGGCAACAGTTGCAGGCGATGTTGGTGGAGGCGCCGGGACGCATTATAAATTTACGCAGCAAGTCCAGGAAGCTACCCGCGACCTTTCCCTAGTTAGCAAGCAACACGGAAATTGTTCATCATTAGACATTCGACATTTAACTCGACACTTTCTTGTTCAAGAAATTTTCCTCGTTTTTTTTTGTTTTGGTAATTTATTTAAAACGCGCTGTCTAACACCCGGCAATTCCTAAGTCGTTTATCTTTTATTCAATGTCTGAAAAATTCAAATTGCGTCACACGCAAGCAAAAAAAAGTAATTACAGATTACGCGCGTTAAGTTAATCAATGATTTAAGTTTCTCGCTCGTAAAAACTTTCGAGGAAGTAAATTGATGCGATTAATTACTCAATAAGTCAATAAAAGTGAAGCTGTAAATTGAAGGTAATAAAAAGTTATTTTTATGCGCAGAAATGCGAATTTAACGAAGTTTATTTTAAGATTTAATTTTAGGAAGAGTTGAGTGATCAATTTTAATTTTATTTGTTTGTTCAATCTACAACGGCGTGATTTCGAGTGCAGTCGGCTGTAAAGAGACAATTTGTGTGCCAGTGGCGAAAAGTCAAGTCAAGGTCGAGCCAATAAGAAGCTTACAAGGAAATGTACGACTTGAATAACGATTTTTTCCACAGCACACTCAACGGACATAACAAGTAAAGGGTAAAATTAACATAAACTGTCGTCAGTTAGAAAATGAAAATAAAATTTTTACATTTTTGTCGCTCTAGGGCTGAAAAATGACTTTTACACATTTAAAGTGAAAAACAATAAATTTTGTATACATAATATTTTGTATACATAATATATTATTACAATTTTCTATTAATAAAGCAATAAATTAGTTTTTTCGCAAAAAATTGAAAATAAGCGTTACAATTATTAACTTTTACACGAGTTGCGATGAAGTTAAAATACTCGCGTATGAAATTAATAAGTTAAGAAAGTTTGTGCTTACGAACGATGCTCGGTGGCGGCGTGGAAGTCGACGGAGCAGCGCGGGCAGCATTTTGATAATCTATGCGCAATTTGGCCGCAATATATTACGCACGCATTTTTCGCCTGCATCGCGGACGCGCGCCAAGCGCGTAATAATAACCGTCGGTAACGAAAAAAAAAAACCACACACCACCACCACCACCACTAGTACTCAGTCTAGAACGTAGACTAACGAGTGCGGCGGGCGGCGGCGTGTGGATCGCATCGCATCGGAAAATTCAATATTGAGCCTACGCGCCCGTCGCACCGCCGGCGATTAGTCGCTCCTAGTTCTAGGATACATGCAACATACATGGCCATGATAAGAGGCAGGCGAGGTAAAGTGTAGCTCGCGTGCAATATTACACATCGACCGACCAATCGACATCAGCCGACACAAACCGGACAAACATCGTTAAATCAACGGCGATTATCAGCGTGGCGTATCAACTTTGGAAGATAAGGGAAAAAACAGCGGAAAGATATTAACGCCATCTGGCAGAGGCTTTTTTTTCATTTGGGTTATCTACTTGCTTTTGATAAGAAAACGTATTTATTTATATAAATGCAAACAAAATATTTGCTAATTGAATTTTTTATATTTTTGGGGGAAATTTTTGTGCTTTTGGAGTTTTTTTTGTAAAAAATGTTAAAAAAACAGTTCAATATTTTTGGTTTTTTTCAATTTTTGATTCTCACGTTATTTTCAAATACTTTTTCCTTTTGTTTTCTGATATTTTCTCAAAAAATTGCTGTTTTTTTACTTAATAATACACCAACAACGTCAACCTTGTTTTATGCATTGAGCAATACCCATTTGCGTGACATTTGACGGCTGTTTCCACACAAGGACTATGTATTTGTGATAAATCACTACAACTGCCCACCTAATTATCCTCCGAGCGACCTATCGCGCTGACAAACGACGCCCAGCGCGATACCTCGCGGTCAAATCACGGATCAAGGCCAAAGCGACTTTCTGTCTCGTCAAATGCCACCTAGACGCATTAAATGCGTCGTTAGACACCATTTTATAGTTCAATTAAACTCCTTAAAACAATTCATTACCAAAAAAATTTTTTTTTTGCTTAAATATTTCATAAACATGAATTATTACCGAGAGATTACGAAAGCATTAAGCGTGGCATTGAAAAAAGGCTTACATAAATTTAATTTTCGTGACGAGCCAAAGGATATAAGAGAATGAAAAAATCCAATCAATCTAAAGGACACGACATGAACATGAAATGACGTCATTCCAACGTCATAACATCTACGCAAGTTTAAATCAATATTGAACGTGTGAAAACGCAGGAAATCATCACAAAACGTTAATTTATTTACAAAGGAATGTAATTATAAATATTATTGCGTAATATGGCGAGTTGTGATGCGCGAAACACGCAAACGCACCAGCAGCACACGGTATAAAATTATAATGTTGTATAAAGCGGTGGAGGCGCCGGGCATTAGGTGCGGTCGCCTACCACAACAGAATATCGATTATTACACGTAGAAAAACGATCGACGTGGCCGCGAGAAACGAACAAAACTACACGACGGACTGTTTCCGACAGTCGGCGTACAGCCAGGATGATGATAGGATAATATATTGTGAAAGTGTGTATGTTACGCAATAAAAATCAAAGTAATTAGTTTAAATATTCAGTTTAAAATGAAATATGAAGAGATTTTAGTGGCGATAATAATAAGTGTGGTTTTATTTAGTTATAGATCGCAACGTCGTCGTTTTCGCCGCGCAGGAAGCAGGAAACAACAAAGTGGAGTGGAATTCGTCGCGCGCCGGCCTCAACAGAATGGAAAGGACATGCGGCACATAGTGTTGGAACGGCACCGATACGGCGCTCTATACGAGGTAAAAAATTTTTTTTTGAAAAAAAAAAAAACTTGGTTTTCTTAGAAACAACGCTTAATCAACTTTTCATTAACTTTTACTTTTTACTCACACGAAAACACAATCAATTTGTTTCGTGTCGCCATCGATTATTTAAAACCGTTGTTAATTAAAAAAGAAAGCGAGATAATAAGTAATAACTTTTTTTACGTTTATGAGGAAGGACATCAAGTTTTTCCATTAGGCGTTAAACGCGCGTAAAAATAGCCCGAAAGACAAACAAAATACAAAAATAGAAAAAGAATAGACTATCATTCGGAATGATCTCCTAAATGCGTGTTGGCGTGTTAACAGTCAAAGCGGGCAACACGACCAGCACTCAATGTCGAAATTGTCCTCGTCAGGAGGCTTGGAATCCGGTGATATCTCGATATGAGCAATAATATTTTTAATAAAAGACATAACAACACGTCTAACATCGGTTCCGAGGAGAAATTGGGTCGTTTAACGTTTGCGCAGGAAAAGGTAGACAAACACAGAGATTTTCATTCCGCCATTTCGCGTTTCAATATTTTCCCCTTCATGCTCATGCCTGCATGAGAGAGTATTTCATATTCGGAAACATTCCGAACGTAACATTTTTACGATTTCGTATTAATATTTTTACAACTCGGGATACATAAATACAAACACGCTGGAGAAAAACGCTGTGGGCCGGAAAGGGCAAACGGGACCGCCATTATGATTAGGTCACCGGAAGTGAGGCCAAGAGGTTTTCTCAAGCACGCATAAAACATAAACTGCGTATATGAAATGCGTATAGAGGAAGAATAATAAGAATTCAACGCGTCGTTCAAAAACCGGAAAACCGGAAAAACCCTAATATATCGTGATTGATGCGCATAGAAATATATTATCGCTTATTATTTACAAGGAAATAAATTTTGTGGGGAAATTTATTATACATTGGAGTGATTTCCGGTTCATGTAAGGCCATAACATGAACTTACATGAAAAAATATTTTTCCTTTCAGTATAAAAGAGTCTTTGAGAGAATATTAAAAATTCAACGCGTAGGTCAAGAAACCGGAAAACTTCTCATTCACCGTGATTTAAAAACTTTCTTGCTTTCGAAAATGAATTTCTGTCAAAGTTATTAATATTAATTTATTTTTCCGGTAAATTTCTAATGATCTACTTACATGGAAACATTTTTACACTTTCAAGCACCAAAACTTTCCAATTATTTATAGAAATATTAACAATCAGAAACAGGAAAACTTTGGATTCGTAGAGATTTTTCCATTACAAACCGAATAAAAGGTTATTATGCATAAAATAAATTTCACTGGAATTTATATACTTTATTTTGCTTTTCCGGTTAAATTCTAATGATCTATCCACATTTCCAACGTTACACAGCGCATACGCTTTCCAACTATTCAAAGTATATCCGAACCTTATATTTTTATCACAGAATTTTCCGGAAAAATACAATTTCTACAAACTTATTACTTGATTCGATTCTGGAATTACGATGCATTTACTTTTATTTTTTCAAGAATTGTTTGTGGTATTGCGGGTTAGAAACACGACAACGAAACATAACAAAGAAATCAGATAAATGATACAATTAGGTAGTAAAAATGTTGACCGCTTTATAAATAATCGAGAATACTTGCATTTAGATTACAAACGATACAATCGTTGATACAAACAAACGGAATATTCTCGTGAATTAATAACAGGAAAATATATTTAATAGTTTAATAGCCTTTAGTTTATACCTTTATGAAATATATTAGTTTTTATTCTACGTACAGACAATCGATAAGTAACATTTAATTTATTTTATTTAAAAAAATATTTAATTTTCTTTTTTTCTCCATTTTTTTCTTTCTTAACTGGCTCTTGAGTAAATACTCGTTTAATTTAATTCGTTGCGATTCCCCGGTTTATCTTGTGACAATTTGTACAGTTCGCATATTTGCCGATTTAACGACTCAACGAACTAATAGAAAACTGGCGCTGGGATTATTGACAATTCGTAAATTTATTGTTGCGCGTTTCGCGTATCGCATCGATATCATTACAAGTGCATTTTAATGATAATAATCAGAGCGGATGGGAAAGTGTTCGCGTTTTCCCACATTAAACGGATGGAATATTAACAACGGAGCAAGCGAAACATGCGGAATTTTCCTGCATAAAATTTCAATGCGATAATGATAGCGTAATGATCTATTTTATAATGCACTTTATTGCTGGAGCAATTCTTTGTGTTTAACAGCGCAACTATATTACGTGGACCAATAAAATTACAGGATATTTGAATTCAAAGTGGTTCTAAAATTAAATATTGATAAATTTTTTTATAAAAATTTCATTTTTTGTATGTTTGTTTTCATTTCACGGCTAAACCACTGCACAAATTTTAATAAATTTTTGTATAAAATTAGTTTAGATATTGGAGAAGAACATAGGCTACTTTTTTGTTGCAAGAATTAATATTTAAAGGGTTAAAATAAGGGTAGAAACTTAAAATTGAATAAATCATAGTAATTATGATATTTTTCAAATTCAGATTGCGCTATAATACATTCCCTTGAAATAAAAACTGTTTTAAATTAATTTTTAATTTTTCTGTGTCAAATTTTCACCAAAAAATGCTTGCCCTGCAACATAAAACTGTGAGAATATTGAGATTTCAAGCATATTTAAATATTTAAAACTTTGAAATGTATTTTTTTACGCCGCAATATAGGCCGAACCTTTTATTAGTATTACATCCATGCCAACAAAATGGTTTTACAACCCAAGCCCACCCGGTGGTACGTGAACGTATGTAGTTTTAAGTCGAATTTTCCACATCCGGGCGCTTCATCCGCGACCATCGCCCGTCCCTCAGAAACAAACCGTAAAAGACATCTCGTAAAGTGTCACATCAAATTTATTTATGGTAGATTATGTTTTACTGGCACACGGCCTCCTCCCACCCGCAATTTTTTTTATCACGTTATCAGCGAGCGTGCCATGCATACGGCATTTGGCATGCATCAACGCGTCCTCGCCTGCGGGGCTGGCCAAATGCCGCAAATTCCTCAACAGCAGCATGGCATGAAAGTTGAACAAAAACACAAGAAGCACGTGTCTTGTGTATTGTACGAGTATAACGTGTTCTAAACGCGGCTTTAAACTCAAATGAATAACATATTTCATAATAACAAATATGCAACCCAACACACACACACAGCAGGAATCATAAAAAAGGTGTCGGATGAATGAGAATGAAAATAATAAATTACGCCTCAAAATGAGGGGTGAAAGGGAACAAGGTGGAAAATGCTCTTTGTTTCTACCTGATGGAAAATACCGGCGTGTTTCGCATACGCAAAGCCGCAGCGCAGCGAAGGGGAAATTTATTTCTTGTATAATAAGTTGGAATTTTGGACACCCTGGTGGTGTGTCGAAGGAAACATCTTGCGTTTGAAGTGGAAATGTGCGCCGCACGCCCAACGGCACGCTTGGGATAAACAAAATTTGCAAATGCAAAACTTGCGGAATGCAAACTGTCGCTGCAATTCCGTCTCTACCGCCGCCACCTCAGGCGGAAAATCGTAAATCAGAAAATCATAATTGTAAATTCATCAAATTATCATGCATTCAACCTCACAAAAGAAAAATATTATTTCCACATCAAACACACCAAGGAAAACAATTCTTTCAACTTTCAACCCTTTTTTAACCCTTTAAAATTTTATTTTCACAAAAAATTTATCCAATATTCTTTTCTAATAAATAATCTATCTCTATACCAAAATTATCAAAATTGGTTGAGTGGTTTAGCCGTGAAACGAAAACAAACATACAAAATCCACAATAAAATACAAAAACATATTCCAATCTATTTCTAGAATGATGTAAGCAGAGCTTAATCTGTTTTTATTACATTTGCTACGATCACGATCAAGATGATGTGTTTGGCGACAAAACACGCGACACAATTTCCACACGCCGATATAATCTGCGACAGATGAACGTCCGATGGCTTGATGCATGACGCTTTCCGGTTGGCGCGAGCGTACGTGCGTCACAACGCCGGCGACGCGCGCGATTTTCCGCGCTATATTGCGTTTTAGTGTTAATTTCGCTTTTTCCTTCGGCGAAACGTTTTACGATGGTAAACGAAAGCTTTGCGTGGCTTTGCCTGGACGAAACTTTGCTCTCAACATTAAAACATTACTTCGTTTAAACCTGTAAAAAGCTCGCGGGCAGATGCAAGCAGGCATCTAAGAGAAGTCATATAACTTTGGATACAGTTACAATGACGCATTTTTTTGATAATAGAAAACTGTAACTAAGGAGAAATTAAAAGTTACAGCAAACTGTAATTTTTCTTCATGAGAATTGGATGTTTTTATGCTTTGCAGGCGAAAGTTGTGAATTTTCCGGTATAAGATGTCATTTCTTAGTGTAACCATCAAGAAAACATAATAAAATGAAACTTTTCTTCATATTACCACCCTTGGGCGGCCAAAATTGGAGGAAAATTCCTTAGTTTTTAATAAAAACAGTTTTTAACCTCAAAATAAGTGAAATAAACATAAATACAGATTTCTACCTAAGAAATATAACAAAAGAAGAAAACTTCTTTATCGACATTCAAAAATTATATTGTAATATCGTCTTTACCACCCTAGGGCCACAAAATATGGTCATAATCATTCGCTTCATCAAAATTACAGATTTCTACTCGTAAAATTCAACAAAAAAGGAAACCTTCTTTATCGACATGTAAAAATAATGTTTGTACTTTGTTTTTACCGCCCTAGAGCTGTAAAAATAAGCAAAAACATTGACGAATTCTACTTTGAAACTTTGCAGGTGTGTTATGTCCATGAAACGACTGGCGGCACTTTCGTCGACGACTAGCAACCATGGCGGGCTAAACTACACGGAAATGAGTACGGCCCCTGGCTCACCCCCGCCGCCTATCCATGGGGTGAATGTGATGCTCGGAGGGTAAGTCCTCTCACGCGTTTGATTGCGCAATGCCTCCGTTTCCAGAGTTCCACTTCCGCGGATAATCAATTCTTACTTCGTAAAGCATTTCGAGTGTTTCCACCTGAATATGTTCCTCAAACAGTCTAATAATTTACAGAACACTGTAAACGGAAAACAAGAAATTCGACGAATGTAAACTTAGCGCGCAACTTATTTCCGATAGTTTGAAACTAACGAGGGAAAATTTTCGAAGAATTACACATCACGTGGAGTGGTATTAATTAAATATGATTAGCGTCGGTTGTGGTTTTCACCTGATTGTGCAAAACTTTCCATCATGCGAACCATTAAATCGACAAACCGCAGAAACAAAAACTGAATCCGAACCCCTGGTGGATTTACGCCAAATTTGTCAGCATTACGAATTTAATTGCGTCCATTAATCCTGGCCATCAAACAATTTTTGTAATTTGATTTGATAATATCTGAATTTTCAATTAACGTCAAGATGTGATGACCTTTAGATGTCAGCGAGGAAATTAAAGCGCATCCATCGAAGAACACGGCGCGCAAACATTTCAATTTTTTCCGATGATAATAAATCGCGACAGACGAGCCGGCGTAATCCCTCGGATGGAGCGCCACGGTTTTGTGGTGAAGGGAAATTCGTCCGGGTGCCTTCGGGGCGCTACAGCACTCCAAGAGCTTCCAGTTATAGAAATTGGATTTGCGTTTTGCCGGGCAGGAAATGACATTCCTGTATCCGCAGTTCGTCCCCGCAACTACCAAACCACCAACTCAAATATTGCCAATGAACAATATACAAAGTGTTTACAAATTTCACATCTAAACAATAATTAATAAACAAAGTAAAAATAAGAACCAAAACTTTAACTTCAAGAAATCGCGTAAAGAAATATTAAATGTATACTAACGCCACCTGCATTCTAATTATGTAACTATAATTCCCGTTTATACACAATTCAAACTTTCATCCCTTATTTAACACCCTTAAATAATTATTTTCAGGACTAATAGTAGTCTATATCCCTTTCAAATATATAATTTATATTTACACCAAAATTCATTAAAATTACTTCAGTAGTTTAGGCGTGAAATGAACACAAACATACTTTTTCATACATAATCTAACAAAAAATGTTTAACAAACACGTTGTATATTGATGTTAGCACGCCTCACGCATGAAGAAGATTGATCCCTACAAGGAAGCAAATATTTAAACTCCCGATTTCGATAAAATCCGATTGGTTCTTTCTGGTAGTTTAGGAATCGGACTTTTTAGCTGCAGTTGCAGAACAAACTTTGCAAAATATTGCAGCCGCAGTGAATGCAGACACATTGCACGTATGGCATGTCTGCTTCGATTGAAATGTATCACAATAAACTTTGTTCTGGGCAGAATTATGAAAAACAAATTCAATTTTAGTTTGCAAATTTAATTTTCCCCAGTTGAATTGTGTAAAATTCCAATTCAATTTCGGCACTAATTTTACAACAATTTTTGTTACACATAACAAACATAACCAAATTATGTTTCTTTTTAAATTTTACCGCACTAGTGCGCTAGTGCCCTAGGGCTCTCAAAATTCTTGTTTTTCATTTGCTTTGTTTTGAAAAGTGTTATAACCTCAAAAAAAAAGAGTTAAGTTTCTTTTAAAATTGCAAAATTTATGCAAAAATAATGTTTTTAAATGTTTTTTACCGCCCTTGGGACACAAAATGTATTCTCAACCATTAACTTCAGCAAAAATACAGATTTCTACCCAGGAATTATAACGAAAATAGAAAATTTCTTTACCGACATACAAAATCAATATTTTTCTAAAGTTTTTCGTCCTAATGCTGCAAAATTGAACAAAACATTGACACATTTTGCCTTTTTTTTCGGTTAAATAAAGTTTGCAAATTAAATTTTCCCCAATTGAATTGAATTGTACAAAAAGCCAAATAAATTTCGGCACTAATTTTCCAAACTATTTTTTCAACTTTTTGTCGCGTATTTTACACAAATTCCATCGCAAATATTAAAAAATCGATTTTATAGTTGTTCCTGTTTTTTTTATTTTTGTTTCGTTTTTGTAGAAATAAAAATAGAAAAACGTGAAAATTGGCCACGATGGAAATCAACGAACACAAGCATTGTGAAAACGCGGTTAGCCGAGAATTGCATCGCGGAAGCGCGCCGAATATAAAATAAAGCATCGTTTAAAGCCATCAGGTGAATTTCGCGATAAAGGAATTCCCGTGTTCGGCCGCCGCCGGCCCCTAAATGAAACACACGCCCGCCGGCGGCGACCGCCGCTCAAGCGCGCAGCACAGCACGAATTCCGCCGAGAAACCCCGTTACTTACGAGATAATCGTTCCCGCGCCTCCACCAAACCCGCTGGAGAAATTCCCAGCGCGCCATAGTTTTACATCCGCTACCGGAAAAATACGCCAACATCTCACCGCGTTATTTTTACACATCGGACACCAAAACCCACTCCTCCAACTCCACAGCATTAAACTCCATGACGTGTAAAATTACACTGATGGCTCATTTTCAATTGAAAATCTTCCATTTCATTTAATTTCTAAAAATGTAAACATTTGCGCATTTTGACGCATCGTGGTGTGAGTGCGCTGTGCGCAAACAATGAATACAAAAAAAACGGCTGTCGCTTTACATCGCTAACGAAGCCGAAGCCACAGCAGAAGATATAATCATAATAAATAACGTTAAATGAAGCGCAATTTTTCACAATCACGCTGCAGGTTTTAAATACGCATGCGTGTCGTGAAAGAATTCTACGCGCCCGCAGCGTAACGACGTCATTATGCTTTTGCTCTCTTACTAAACCGGCATTGTTTTGTTGCTTTTGCAGGGCCATGCTGAGCGGCATCATACTGGTGGTATTCCTAATGTGCTACTGCTGCCACAAGAACGCGCGGAAATCTGAAACGCACATGCCGGAATACTGGCGAGATTCCGGGCTTCCGCTGCACGTCTACACTGTCGAAGGACACCAACAGGTAGGCAACCCAATATACATATTACTATATACACCCATAAGCCGTGGTATAAAATTATATTTCATTGATTTTATGAGTTTTAAACGCAAAACAAGAGGAAAAAATTAATGACAAAGTCATATTCGAGTCACGTTCCTTCACTTTTTACATTTTCGAAAAATTACAATTGCAAATGAAGACAAATACTTGAGATTAAACGAATGAATGCGCGCGACAACACTGGAGTTGGCTGCTACGTTTTTTCTCGTCGAGTTATGCTGCCCGCATTTCGGCGCGTCGAAAGTTGGCAAAGTTTGCGCAGCGTTTATCCCGCGCACACATCGCGTTGTTGTTTATGCCCGCCGATGAATGCATCACCAGCATCCGCACATCCGTATGGACGAGCAATTATAACAACTTACGCCGCTAACTTTTCTCATTTAAGTATCACACCATTAGAACTATAGGCAACCAAAAACACTGAACGACGTGCACGAAATTAATTGGACAGCATTTGGATGCGCTGCCAAGTGGTTTGCATCCATTAAATTTCATACCTCTCGTTAAATTCCAAGCGAAAAGTCGTTAAAACGAAAAATCGAATATCGCTGTGCGGGTAATTTATCAAAAAAACAAGTCGCGCATTGTTTGTGCGGCATTATCAGCGACAATAACGCGACGTGTAGATAATTAAAGATAAATCGCGCGTTATTTAACAACACGTACAGTCGCAACGCATGAATAATACCTACGTTTTTAAATGAACACGAAAATATCACACGAAAAACACAACTTCAATTAAATTACATATTTCAGAAAATAGTGTTAGTTTTAAATTATTAATTAATTAAAACACGTGAATGAATAAATTTCAGTATATTTTTTGTGGTGCATTGATGCAATGAATAGCGTACGAATTAAAAGGAACTTCTACATGAGCACCACAAAGAGCTAGTTTCGCACAAGTTGCTTTGCGTAATGCAGTGCAAAATGTACGAAAAGAAATTTCAAATATTCGAGAGCATCTCTCGCGCAAGTTTGCGCACAAAATCCGCGCCAGCTTTTAGTATTACGCGCATTAATGTAAAACATTGTCGGGCCAGTGGCGGCGGCGACGCTAACTTGCTAAAATACTGAGAGCACTTTTTACTGTTAGCGAAGGGACACTGTCAGCGTAATAAATTCCGATTTGTGTCATGCGCGCCGAATGAAGAGTAAAAGTCATGAGTGTGGACGGTTTACACTCGACAAATCTTTTGAATACCAGAAAAAACTATGCTGAAATGGACATTGTACACTTATGAAATGAAATATTTATTTAGTTTAATTCCTAATGTTTTGAGTTGCGGTATAAGTAGTGAACATAGAAAATCCTATGTTAATTTTTAAAAAATGAAAAAAACTTATTTTCATTAGTTTTAATCGGTCTAAAATAATATTCAATTATCTTTTTAAATTTATAGGAAATTTTTAAACAATAAAAATTTGTTATTCCATATTTTTAATTTATAATTTATAAATTGCCAAATTTATAAGATATTCAATGTTATTTATTTTAAAAAAATCATTTAAGCTATTTTTAATTGAAATTATATAAATTGCCAATGTGTTGAGTTACGGTATTAACACCGAACATGGAAAATCCTATGTTATTTTAAAAACTGAAGAAAAACTCATAAAAACCTCATTTTTTACTAATGTTTCAAGTAGATTTTTTTGTAAATTTCTAAACAACACAAATACCGCATTTTGACTTGCGGTATAACTTCCGAACATAGCAAAACCAATGTAATTTCCCAAAATAACGTAAAAAGAAACTGTTTTTACCTGTTTAAATATTGATAAACCGATGTCCTGTTTGAATTGAACTGTTCTAGTGCTTCGACCCAGAAGAATTAGTGCTGTGCGACATGCAGGTGCCGGTGACGCCCGGCCCGCCGCCCGCCTACGACGCCGTCGTGCCTATACACAAGAACATCGTCAGCCCGGCGCGGACGTCGCCGCACGAGCAGCAATTCCTGCAGCACCAGCAGCTAGCAGCTCAACAGCGGCGGCCGCCGCCCTCGTCCGACGATTCCGGCCTGCCGTCCTACGAGGCGGCACTGCGGCTCGAGGTCGGGCACGTCTGAAAGCGAAAAAACAATGTATATCACACAAGCTGCTCTCTCCAGCGCCCCGCGATCATTTGTCACCCTCGAGTGTGTGACAGCGTCGTTCATTTTTGTGATAAAACGAACATTACATTCGGCGTAAGCCGGCTAAGTGAACATTGGACACGTAAGACGACTTAACCTAAGAACTAGGATTAGACCGAGCGAATAGATTGTACAGTTACACAGACATATATAACCTGACAACGCACGTATTTTTTAAACTTAAGAAAAATAACTACACACAGACACAGAAAAGAAAAATGAACTGACAGCGCCCAGCCGTGATGAGAATAACTTGAATCTCGTACGTAATTCCACTCAAGTGTCAGGGGCGGGGAAAAATGTAGGCCAAAAGTGTATCGCCGAAATATTTCAATTATTATCAAATTACGCGAGCACTAATGCTTTCTGCCTATGAATAAAACTAGTGTGTAAGAAGTGTCATAAGTTGAATAAACGTATTCTATGCGAAATGATGTTTTTTGTACTCTTCGAGTTTTCGATGGCATTAATCCGGACCTGCCTAACGTAAAGTAACGTTCAAGTAACACCAATTTTCGATTTTTAACTGTTCAGTCAAATATCGCGAACACGTTTAGACTACTTATCGTAATTAGCAATTAGAATTCAATTTGGTTAATTATAATTAACCCTCAATTAATTAACATTAAGTCAATTAGCACACTTTCTGTCGCCAGCGGATGATTAAAACCAAGGTTTTAACGATGTTTGCACAAGCAAATTACGGCAACCCGTATAACACGCGTGAAACTTTTGCACAATCTTTTTATTTTTATTTGTTTATTCTTTTATTTTATGCCACAATGCGAATAAAATTTTCTAGTTTTATTTCCGCGCACGTTGCGTAATAATAGGTGATGTTTTCTGTGGTTTTATGAGTGTTGGGTGTTTTTGAAGATCGTAAATGAACATTTTCAAAATAAACACAGGCATCATTTGCTTGATTAACCCATTTCATTAATTCGCGATATAATTTTAGCTTGATTACCACTTGTGATGGGAAAACGCTCGATTTATTATTAGATTATCGACTGCAAACGAGGAATAATTTCGCGATTTTAATTTGCCACCCACGCAATCGCCATCGAGCATCATTACGCCAATTACGGAATGAATTTATTTGGATCAAGCTATAATTAACCGCAAGCGAAATCTGATCAACTCATCAACAAGAAGAGAAATTTTATGAAATTTAGTGAAAATAGTGAAAAATTAGAGTTACGGTATAAGTAGCGAACATAGGAAATGCAATGCTATTTTTCAAAATATGTAATACTATTTAATTTTTAATTTAATTTTCGTCAATTTCTAAATTTAAAAAATTATTCGTGTTTAAATTCAAAATTTAACTTTTAAAAATTTTCAACGCTGGTACTTGCGGTATAAAAGTATCAAACCGCACAATACTATTAACTAAAAATAGAAAAACACATTTTATCAGTTTCTAAAGCAAATTTTCTAAATTGCCAATGCGTTGAGTTACGGTATAAGTAGCGAACATAGGAAATCCAATGTTATTTTTCAAAATATATAATTCAATTAAATTTTTAATTTAATTTTCGTCAATTTCTAAATTAAAAAATACGTGTTTAAATTCAGAATCAAAACGCCCAATATAGTTAACTAAAAATAGCAAAACACTTATTTTATGAGTTTCTAAAGCAAATTTTCTAAATTACCAATGCGTTGGGTTACGGTATAATGATCGAACATAGCAAATCCAATGGTATTTTGTACAAAATTATAAAAATGTTTATTTGTTTTAATAATGATAAAACAAATTCCTCTTTGAATTATTAAATAACCAAGAAAAGGTTTAACGCAATTTTATAAAAAAATCTGCTTTATTCATAATTGTTAGTAAAGGTAACAAGTTACGTGATGTTGTTGAAAGTATCAGATGTGATGCGCGATTGTTATATATCGCAAAACAGCGTTTTGCATTAAATATGATTCGATGAATAATGTAACGCGAAAGTGAAGCGTTACGACGACGACGACACACGTAATGACACGTTTTATTGCATGTCCTCCTAAAGGGCATGGTACGCTGTCCTGGAATAATGAATACATATCCGACATGTTACATGCATACACGATTCGAATTTTTTACATTTTTGCATTCTGTATTTGCATTCGTTCGTTTGGTGATGATGTAAGTGATGAAGAGAAGAGTGAAGTACTCGTAAGTGAAGTAAATGAAAAACGGGGACCAACGAATGTAATAAACAAATATTTCAATCGTTTTCATTTTAAAATGACACTTTTAATTATGTTTTAAAGTTAATTAAAAGCAAATTAAACCGGAAGTAATTTAGAAACAAAGATAATAAGTGTATAGTGGCGACATCTCAGTTAGAACAGTTGATTTATCTTTAAATATGTCAAATCTGCTGCACGCTGCAGTGACAACTCACACTGACATTCACAATACCAAACATACTGCGTGAGTCATGCCGCCACACCTACCACACCGTAACTTAACGCACGTTCACTAACACTAGCAAAAATAAATTCGTTCAACCAATACGCAGCGTCGGCTCACACCGACACAGCACCCTCTGCCTAACTTAATGCGCCTGCACAACTGCAACCAAACAACTTCACAGAACATAAACTGCATCCTAACGCCATCTCGAATCCAATTATATAACTTTAATTGCACATTTTAACCTATTTAGATTATTTTCCGCGCAATTTTTGATATAACAGAAAAAAATCACGAACACCACGTTATAACCTCACCCACCCACCGCAAACATTTACAACAAACGAAGTATAAAATAAAATTGTGCGGTTTTTGTGGCGTGCTTAACGATTGGTAAATATTTGCGCACTGCAATGTGCATGCTTCCCACCGTACAGTAGCAATCGCAAGCGTATATTGAATTACTAAAACAATCCAGCGGAATTTATTGTAATGTAAATACGAATGAGTTTTTAATCTGCGCAGCCATCGCATAGCGCATTGTAGAATCTAGACTATATTTAAAATTACAAACACCTTAAATAAACAAATAAATACGCATTGTGTAAATGTATAAATCACATAATAACTACCCGAATATTCTAACCTAAAATTAGTCTGGATGCAAAGTGGTAAAAATTAAACAAGAAAAATTAAATCAGTGCAAAACCACTGATTCTAATTACGTTTTAATATTCTTTGATAGCCAATTGGAAGGCAATTAATTTTATTTCCATTAACGTTGGCTAAATGGCGATAAATACACTTTTTATCCTTCATTAAACCAAAATTAAACATTGCGCATTTAATTTCACAACACCAATGTTAATATATAAAGAAACACCGCGTGGCTAATACAGGATGTTGCATGAAATGTGCGACAAACTGTAAATTATCAATTAGATTAATGTAAATTTCTAGCAAGTGTAAATAAAGTAATTACTTAAGTATGTACGAGTATAACGCGATAGAATAAGGTCGTTCTCGTTTTTTATGTGAGTCGGTTTTCGTTCGACGTGTTCTCGAAACGAATTACTCTTATTATTATGTACAATTAACGAAACAATGCAGCGCTAACGGAATTACAAAACAAGTAGCCATTAAAATAACAAAATAACAATTATGCTTAGTGGATAAGAATTACGAGTAAAAATTATATTCTAAAAATAAGTATTAGGTATGTTGGTTTTATTGAAATTTGAATTCCAAGCATAAGACGTCATAAAAATATTTTCTTGAGAATTATAATATTTATGAGTTGTGGTTTAAGAACCAAAAACAAATATTATTAATTAAAATGTGAAAAAGTCAATTTATCTGATTTTTGTTCAAATTTTTGTGAATTGCCTATGCGTTGAGTTGCGGTATGAGTACCGAACATAGCAAATCCAATGTTAATTTATAAAAATGTAAAGAATTATTTTCTAAAAATAAGTATTATCTTATTTTTATTCAAATTGCAAGCATAAATGAGGTCATAACAATTTTCTTGGTATTTCATTGTTCATTAGTCACTATTAATATATTTAATTACAGTGTAGCCTCGTATAGCGATGAAATGTATACAATTTGGTTGGTTAATATTAATTTCCTCGGGGCAATAACGAAAAATATTTTCATTTCTAGCAATTATGAGCTAGAATATTTTTTCAAAGACATGACATCGTTGGAAACATTTGAAATATTGTTGTAATTATGATCCCAACATTCCTACAAATTGCAATGCAAATTTCTATAACTTAAGCACGATTTTTCAGCTAATTTGTTGGGATGCACAAGCAGTTACTACAAAATCATTTAAACATAACACAAGTGAATACAACTGAGCGACGCGGAATTCATATTTAGACTACAGGAAATATTTACTTGCATTTTTCCAAAAGTAATTGAGTTTATCATCAGCTTTCAAAAGAATAAACAAATCCAAATCCGCGTAAAATTCAAATATTTTGTCATTTTTTGTTCCTGGATGTAATGTCAGCTCGGTATAATGTGAATACAGAGGCTACACTGTATATAGAGTAATTATAACACATGGATTTAATTTGTACAGAATGTAATTGTGAATGTAATCACATTTAATTGTGAGAAGGTGTGATTATAATAATTTGGACATTATGTATACGTGTTATTTTTTGTACAATCATCTCACGAGGATTATTAACACCACGCAAACACGTAGATAATTGTAATTAAAATGGAATTAACGTTGGAATTAAAATTATCAAATCAAAACTGTGCGCTTTTTTAAAGCGACGCAGTGATATTAATATTAAAATTATTATTAGTGAAATATGAAAATAATAAATAAATAAATAAATAATTGGCGTAAGTCACTAGAAATACTAATAATTAATTAAATTAGGAGATAATATATTTGTAAAAAACGTTAAAGATTAATTTCAATTATTAATATTTTCGCAAAAGATTAAGAAATGTTTTGTTATTTGTTTATATTCATTATTATTAATACCTAGACTTAAAATATTTATTAAGATTTGTAAATATGACAAATAAATTATTAATATATAGTGAATTAAATTTATTTTTCTTTTAGAAACAGTAAAAACATATTTTTGAATAGAAAAATAAAAATTTTAATTTAATTCAAGAAAATGAGGCAATTTTTTCATGTCACGATGAATAATTACAAAAAAGATGAATATTAATAATAAATAAGTCAAATTAAATAGTAAGGACTATTATTTCATCATAACAACTAATGAATTCGTGCATTAAAAAGAGATTTGTGATTTTAGAATTGAATTTATAAAGTTAACTTTTATATTTCTGACTTGATGTTGTGTGATTCATTGTTACTACGTGAATTCATGACAAATTCTAAGGAATTTATCAGAAACAATAATAAACTTGAATAATTTGCAACAAAACATTAATCACAACTCATTAGCATTTTTTAGAAACATTAAAACGTTTGATAAAATAAGTAAAACACCTCTAAAAGTATTTTTCTTTGTTTTAAAATATTTACTTCAAAACTGTTGATGTTTATAAATTGAATTTTTGAAACTTTACACTGCAATTTTAGTTTTCATGTCTTAATCCTCAAGATACCTATTTCTAGCCTCTTATTCTTAGAGAATTATCGTCCCTCTGCGATTTCCGGATAAATTCCTAAAGTTAAAAACTGTATTATTTTCACATTTCATAAAAAATTCACAGAAATCCATATATTTCATGCAGTGCATTGTCTCTTGAAGCATAACATAACACTGTTCTTGGTATTTGTTTGTGATGCTTAATGATGATAATGATTCAGTCAGTATTCCCGGCAGGTACGAGCTCAAAAACAGCCTGCAATGGACGCCGACTGCAAGAAATCTTTAATGAGAACAAGCACCACCACAACTCAACGCACAAAGGATTTCCTCAATCACAAAACCCAGAAAACATTAACGAGAATAAAATTGCACCCAAACACACAACTTATACCTATATTTATACCTATTTACTATCTGATAATATCAATTTTAATGCCTAGCGATAAATTCCAGGAACGCACTTGATCAATTAGCACACGTCAGCACACCGCCCTCGGATTGTATCGGCCGCGAGCGCAGTAATCACATCAGCAATTAGGTATTGTTTCAATGCTGGTGCACACACGTGGCACACAAAGGTGCGTCGTATATCCTACTTAGCTGGGCTAAGCTGCGTTCAGCAGGTCCTAGACCAGGAGTATCACTATAATCAACCTCAACCGGCGTAGCGTAATTCGGTTTTGGGGTAGCGCCTAATAGGCCATCAGGCATTTAGGCTATCAACGATCATTCGAGACAATTACTGCTGTTGCTGTGTAGGCATTATAAACATTTATATTCGGAGAATTGTTTATCTTTGATTTAATGAAAATAAAAGAGTCGTAGCGCCATCTATGTTTAGATTATATAAATATTTGTATGAATTATACGTCATAAACACTTTTATTTCTCATTTTAACCCCTTTAGCGTTAAATTTTTGAAATAAAAAGTAGTCTATGTCATTTTCAAAGGTCTAATCTATATTTTCCCAAAAATTTAGCAAATTCCTAGCAGTAGCTTCGAGTTAAACGGTAACAAACATAAGTTTTAAGTTAAAAAATTGTTTTAATCAAATTTTTCGTTTTCTACGCTTTGTTATTTGAATAATAAATCAAATATTAATAAAAATTCAAATAAAATGATGATATAATAACAAAAAAATTTAAAATTATTTTTTTAATGAATACCTTGGTATAAATGACAATATGAGTAAGAATTTAATTACCCACAACTCACATACCTAAGCAAACCGAAAACAATGCATATACGCAAGAAAATCAACATAATGTTTAATTAAACTCCTTTATTTCTTGTCGCATGTTTATTCGGTGAATGAAAACCACCGCGCGAGTTTGGCTTTTTAATTAATTTCACTCTCACTCGGCCTGACCTAATGCCTCTAAACATCCACAAATTTATGCAGATTAAAATGAAAACGAGTCGCGCGAGCAAATAAAATTTTTAATTCTCCGCGTCCGTGTTAATTTGATTTCATAAATCAGACCATTAATTAAGCACCCCCGAGCGCGTCTTGATAAAATAATAAATATATCAATGCTTATCTGCATTCGGCGCCCGGAATTAAATGCAAATACGAGTTTAATATGACGCGTCCGCAATTTAAATCAACAAAATTTCATTCGGGACCTTCGGGGTGCTGCAATAATATAAATTTCCAAAGACCAGTTAAAGTGGTCCATGAGGGTTTGGGAAACTGGTGGAAAATCTAAATGAAGGACAAATATAACGGAGGGATGGCACAAAAACAATCGCAAATGCCTTTTAAATTGTGCACGAAATTCGGGCACAAAACCGGCAAGGACAATAACGTTGCGTGATAACGTTGCGATTGCAATATGTTTTGCAGAGAATAGAAGTTCGGACTTGTGTTATTAGAGGATGTTTATTAAAGTATTTATTGTTAGGTATATAAATTATGATTGCGGATTGGAATATGATGTTTATCATTGAATTAATTATTATTTAACTGGATGCATGTTTGTGTTTTCAATTCGCGTCGATGTCGGCGATATTAAACTGTTATTAGTGAGAAATGTGGTATTCATGTGGAAAGGCTTAAAATAATATTAAATTATTTAGTAGTAAATTATTTAGTTAGAATAAATATTAAACTTAATCATCATAAATATATATTTTTTAAATTTTGATTGTTGGTTATAAACTCAATTACTTTAGTAAAAGTGCCGGTAAATATTTGCTGAAGTTTAAATATGAATTCCACGTCGCTCAGTTGTATTCACTTGTGTTATGTTTAAATGATTTTCTAGTAAAGCAACGTGCACCTCAACAAATTAGCTGAAAAATCGTGAATAATTTATAGAAATTTGCATTGCAATTTGTAGGGATGTTGGGATCATAATAACAACAATATTTCAAATGTTACCATCGATGTCATGTCAGCAGAAAAATATTCCAGGTCAAAATTGCTAGAAATTAAAATATTTTTCGTTGTTGGACAGAAGAAATTAATATAAACCAAGCAAATTATACAAATTCCGTCGTAATACGAAGTTTGCCGTTAAATATTTCATGTTTTCCTGAAAATTTTCGGTATTTTAATAGTAATCTTGCTATTTAAAGCTGTATCAAATCAAAAATATTAGAAATTATACAAATCGGCCGAGATTTATAAAGAGCACAGCACAAAAAATAAAATTAACCTCAAAATTCACTTTTTCAACTAAAAAAATCCTTCACTAATAAAATCATCATATCTAAACACACGAACCTCCAGGTCGTTACACAACTAAATGATTAAATTAAAAATCTAAAAGAAATCGTGTTCTTTTTACTTCTGTAGGTGAATGACTTCATTACTGTGTAAACAGAAGCTAGGCACCTGTTCCGAACCACTTCCTCAAATTAATTTAATATACTAATAATTTCTCTCTCTTTCTTTGGTTCCGAGTACATGTTTGTTCATAAAATTTCAAATATAAACTTTACTTGTCAAAGCAAAATGATATTAATTAAAATTTCGCGAAATGAAAATACGCCAAATGATAAATTAAATGTTGCTTCACCAAAGTGACTAAAACGAAAATTAATAATAATATATCGATAATGAAAATGAAAGAGTAGCAAATGCGAAAATATGCACAAAATCACCACATAAATTGATTAAAATTTCCATTAAATTTTCCAGTTGGAGCGTATTAATAATTTTTAATCAAGCAAATCAAAAATTAAAATTAAAATTGCATAAATTCACATTGGCATAAATAATATTTGTGTATTCATTATATTTATAGTACTATTTGATGAGTGACATTCAAAAAAACATTTATTTTGGCTTAAAACGTCAAAAAAGTTAATTTTTTTAGGTATAAATACATCTCCCACTGGAAACCAAATATAGTATTGATGTATCAACCCAATCTCAGGGTCCTCGACTTTTTTGTTAACGTTTAATTCAATTGTTTTTAAATAAAATACAAAATTATTATTTTTTACTAAAAATTAAATTTCTCCTAAACTATTAAACTCATCGCATTAACCTATATACTATATCCTAGACAAATTAATTCGCTATCATACAATCAAAACAGTTTTCAAAAATCCCTAACAATTCGGCAAAAAAAAAACAGTCAAAAACCAATTTTTGTCACCTAGCGCCCTCTACCGCTCCTAATGTAAACCACTACCATCGAATGTCTTTCCCCACGTAAAAAGCGATTAGAAATGTATCTTAACGAACGTAAATATTTTCGTACGTCCCAACGCGAGCAACTAAGTGGATCCACAACTACATCAACAGGAATAGTGAATAAGCGCAATGAATAATCTATACCCGTGGGGCTCGTGGAGCCGACGCAGCAGCAGTGAGTATCAAGTGGAAGTAAAGCACTTTGAATAAAAAGGAAATTGAGGCAGATATAAACTGAATGGCATCCTGTTTGTTACGGCAGCAACAGCGCGAGCAACAGCAACACAAGAAGAAAACTCGACGCTTCCGTATGTTTTATTTCCCTTTTCCTCCCTTTCTTCCTTCTCTTACTCTCTTTATGCAGGTTTGCAGTTTTGCTCAATAACGATACGAGCCAGGAAGTCTACGAAAAGCGGCGAAAAAACTATCCAAGCAAACGTTACTCCCGACGTTATTCTTGACATACCTGTATTTGTATTTCCGCTTTTATTTTTAATGTGAATTCGAAGCGTGTAAAAGTTTTGTGAAAATATTCAGCATGAAAACGTAGAACTTCAGGAGGAAGTGCAGGCATACAATTGTTGGCATGTTTGCAAGATGTGAGAATATTGGCCGGTGATATCAGGTGTTGTGTGAATTTGTTTCGCGTTAAAGTTATAGCAAAGCGCATCGCACGAAGTAAAATTAGATTGGAAAAGTGAGCCACTAAACTGGTTTATTTGGCAGCAGTATAAGTGCACAATAATTAAAAATAGTTGTATCCATTCGTGGAATTCCGGCAGTAAATATCACTGAATGGAGTAAAATACTCGAATTTAATTA